GATAGAGAAGTGCACTCGCATAGCAGACACACACACACACACACACACACACACACACACACGCACACACACACACACACACAAAAACACACTGGTGATTGTCCCAGTGCAGGCCATGAGGAGCCTGTCAGATTACAGGAGGGTAATTGAATGGTAAGGGAGCAGACAACACATCTAGCACAGCCGGACTCCAGAGGCGGCCGCCACCATACCAGAGCTCAGGGGAAATTCAGGGCCCACTTAATAGTGAATTGGAGATGGGACATTGTGTGTGTGTGTATGTGTGTGTATGTGTGTGTATGCATGTTTATGCGAGTGTGTGTGCTGTTTTTGTGTAGTGGTGTGTGTGTTTGTGTGTGTGTATTCACTTGGTAGGTGTGGGACAAAGGAAAGCGCTCCTGGCAGCAGCGAAAATGGTCACTAAAAATCTGAAGAAGGCTGATTTGAGAAGCTACTTGGCATGAGCAGAAAAAACACACCCTGAAAAAAAACTGACAAAGCATCAAAAAGAAAGAAAGAAAGAAAGAAAGAAAGAAAGAAAGAAAGAAAGAAAGAAAGAAAGAAAGAAAGAAAGAGAATGTTGCAGATGAATAGAAAAGCAAAGAGGGAGATGCAGAGGGAAGAAAGATAAGGCACAAGAGAAGACGTTGAGCGAAGAACAGCAAAATGCAGAGGCAGAAAAACATGAAGGGGACAGTGGGAGAGCAGGGGGAAAGAGAGACTAGGAGAGAAAAATAAAAAAAAGACAAAGAAGCAAGAAAACGAAGAAGGAGAGCTGCTATACGACGAGCCTGAGTGTCCATCTGCCAATGAACATCTCTAATGGCAGAGGAAAGTGACAAGTGAGCGGAGTGGGGGAGTCAAAGAGAAGCACTGTGCATCGCTTCATGAGGAAAGGAAGACAAGTGACAAATGAATGTAGTTTTTTTTTGTTTTTTTTTCCCAGTTGCACTTTAATGGCTATGATCACTCCGTGTAATTTGATTCCCATATGAATAGGGAAAGGCGAGCTGACGGGACACGCACAGTACATACACACACATTATGACATTGACTGAGTTAGGTGGGAAGATATGTGTGTTTGTGTGTGAGTGAGACAAGCAGACGACTTCTGGTGGGGTGCCTGTCTCCATAGACGGGAGCCCAGCGGCTGGGTAGAAACTAACAAGTAAGTTGGTGAGAAGGAGAGTGAGAAACAGGAGCAGCGCGGAGAGAGAGAGGGAGAGAGAAAATTAAGAGACAGCGTGAGTCTGAGAGAAGGAGAGAGACAGGAAAAGAGAGGAGAAAACAAGAAGGTCTGCTGGGTGTAAAGTTTCCCCTGGATATGATATGTGGATATGGGGATGTCATCAAGCCTGTGAAGTGGAAATAATAAAGAATTAGGATTGTCTCTGAAGACAGGGGAATTAATCCAAAATGAATTACGAAGGGGGAGAGGAGGAGAGGAGGAAAAAAAAAATCAACATCAGCTATTTCCTTTTCCTCTGCTTCGAGGCAGATAGGGGGCGGTTTGTATGAGTACTGTGAATCCCATAAAAATTAAATTAATAACAAAGGGAAAACACACACACACACACACACACACACAAATAGAAGTGGAAAAATTAGTAGTACGGGGGTGGAGAGAGATAGTCGTACAGAGAGCAAGGGTACAGATGGAAAAAAAAGACAAGAGAGAGATTTGAGGGAACTGAGGGTGGGCACTGTTGCTGCCAGATTGCACTGCTCTTTTGTTCCCCCTCGTCTTTCTGGAAAGGGCTGTCGGTGTTAAAGAGGAGATGCCGCGGAGGCCATTGTAATAAATGCCACTTGTAAATTGCGGAGTGGAATTATACAGCGTGCAGATGGATCCATACGCCTGAGCAAAACGTGGCCAAAAAACCGGGAGCGATAATTAAGACTTAGGGGGTGAATGACAGAGCCATTTGTGACGACGGTATATGGCGTCTCCTAGCTCTCTGGGAAACAGAAGGGCTCGGAGAGGCTCGGTGTCACAAAACATTACCCACACAGCTGTTGGCTTTATGAGCAGCAATGGTGCACTCCTTTCCTCCCTCCCTCTCCCTCTCATCCTCTTCTATCTCTTTCTACCCTCTTCTCTCCACCCCCCACCTCACCCCCTCCTCTTGGTCACCACACAGTGGTGCTGTTCTTTCCCAGTTTGTGCAAAACAACCACCCCCTTCCTCTCCCAAATACCGCCGCCATCGGCCCCACTATCCATCGCCAACTCCTTCACCTTCTTCGCCTCACACCACCATCCTTGCCATCTCTGAGGGACTAGACAAGGACTTGTACTCCATCATTCATATCCAGGGAGGGGGAGGAGGCACTCCGCATGCACACAAATATAGAGTAACACCCGGGCTGAAAATTCAATAAAAAGCACTGACACTGACAGTGCTTGGTACTGTTTTGAATGGGAGTTTGGGCTTACTGGGGCTCAGGGCTGACTGTAAAGTAGGAAAATCGAATTCTGTTGTTTTTCTTCTCTCTCTCTTTGTTAAAAAAAAAAACATTTTTGTATGCCATCCCTGTGCTCACAATGTCCACATAAGTCCTTGCATGCTACACTGCTTGTAAGGTTCAGGAATAAGGTCCGTGCTTTGTTCATACGGTGGCTTATATCAAGCATTTTTCTCTAAAATCATTAGACACTGCTTCGGTTGCACTCCTGGGGATTCACCGCACCTGCTCAACAAGTGCAGCCACACTGTCATGTGCACGAATACCTCTTTTGTTTTGTGCCACTGCATAAATTAGGGCTGTATCTCTGCGCAAACACTACCAAGAGTACCTCCTGCACATTTATCCGAATAAAGGGATTCTGATTCTGATGTGTGTCCCCCAAACTCTGCCCTCTTGTCCCCGTCTCTCTGTTAAGTCCATCTATCTCTCTGCCTGGCTGGCCAGCCTGTCTTCTGGTCTCGTCTACCTCTTTGTCTCTGTCCCGGGGGCCTCCGCAGCGTGCAGAGTAGTCTGCGGAGTCTTAACTCAAACGAGACCCCTTCGCGCCCCGTTAAACCCCCGACCTTCTCTGTCACTCCTGTCGCCCGCTGCTGCCGACGACGGGGGCCTGAGCTGCAAGCTAAGAGACCCCGAGCTCAATAAAAGTGTGGGTGATTAAACAACTCCCTGTAATTGCTCCTTTTGTGCAGGAATCAAACGGTCACTCTTATTACGGAGGCAGGAGAGAGGGAGGCTGGGAGCAGTCACTTCCGCCGAGGGCCAGACACCCTCAGTGACCCTGTGCCCTCCCGTCACTACTCCTTTATCTGACCAAACAACCACTGTGCAGTGTGTGTGTGTGTGTGTGTGTGTGTGTGTGTGTGTTTACCTGCATGTGTGTGTATGTCCTAATGCCCTGTGCGTATGTGCCAGGGTGTGTATTAAGCATGCAAAGAAAGCCGTTGAAACAAAGCAGGGTAGAATAACACTAGAGCTCCCCTCAGTGGTGGATGATTGAACTACACAAGAAAAAGACATAGTTGGACCTAAGCAACATGCAGTTGTGTGCCACCAGCCAGCTGGCTTCGGTAATGGGGGACAAAGCCAAACCAGGGGACCATGTCCAACATGAGGGCCGGGTTTCAGAGATCATAGTAACACATGAACCATACACATCATCTGCTAGTAACACACACAAATACAGATATCACAAGGGCCCAGCCACAGCCCCTGTCAAATGAGTCAGCTTACAAAAGGGAGGGACCCAATTACCGTAGCCACAAATACACACATAAAGTGCCTTTCAAGGGTCCATGAGTGCTTCAGCTTCCCCATGATTATGCCCACTCTCCACACACCCAGCACTTGTCGTACACACACAGGGCCTCTGTGCCAAAACAGCCATCAGACTGGACTTTTGCTGAGGAGAAGCGATGAAATGTGTTCAGCTGGTTTGAAAGAGGAGAGCTCTGTGTGTTCGGAGAGACACGGAGAGGGAGGACAGAGTGAGCTATTGGCTGGTCAACAACTATTAGTGATCTGCTCTCTTCGAGGTAGAAGCATACCCTGCCATATTTAAACAAGGAGGGATTCGATTTGAAGAAATCAATGTGAACTTCAGTCAATTTGTGATGCAATAAACTGAAAACATTAAGATGCAGTTTTAGTGAGCCTGAATGTGGTGCAGTTTATATGCCAGTGTATTGGCCTGTCCTGCACCACTTCCTTCAGAATAAATCAATTACTTCTGAAAGGGAAATCTGTTTGAATGGGGCGGTAATGCTTAAGAACATCAGACAGTAGGGTTATCTTTCTTTCATTTACTTACTTCTAATGCAATAACCTCAATATTTTGTTAGCTTCGTGTTTCTCTGTGTACAGTGTGGTGTGCGTCAGTGCAATGGTGACTTTTTAAATCAGTTTATGATTATTATTAATCCTAATTATTTTCATTTTTGCTTCCGGGGTAGCATTAATGAATGATTTTCATATGGGAATTATTAAAGGGATATATTTTGTTGTGTGTCTAACACGCTTTGTGACGCACACAAACCAGATAAATTATAATCAAATATGAATCAAGCATGTTTCAATCAAACACAGAACATTATGGCTCTATGAGTACAAGTGCTGATGGAGATTCATCGATTGTCATCACCACATAAATGTACAAGGTAAGTTTCGATTAACATGGAAAAGGTCAACAAACTCTGATTACAAGCAAAAAATCCATTATTCTCCACCTATAATTGCATCAACTTTTTCAAGTTATTATAGATGTGGAAGTTATGAATTGGGAAAAAAAAAAATCTGGTTTGATCTCCCGACTAGACTAGACAAAGAGAACAGAGGACTCTGGTGGTTCATGTATGCGTCGGTGGAGTAATGGTGCCCCCTTCTGCCCAAAATGCTAACACAAAGCCTCAGCCACAAAAGCAATTCCACATTTAATGGCCACACTATTTTCCCCAGAGACATCAAAAAAAAGGACACCGTATGTAAAACTGTGCAAAATTAGGCTTTATTCTTTTCTTTTTTTTTTTTTTTTTCCCCGCATCGTCGCTTTTCATCATCATCATAATCACCATCATTGTCGTCAACATCATCTTTGAAAACATTACTCACCAGAGACAGGGAGCGAAAGAATAGATTCTCAAAGAGACTCGGAGCTCAAACCTCTTCGCAAACACAGGCATCAAGTTTTATAGCGCGGTCCCACAACAGAATGAGTCAGCTGTACACCTCGGTCTCTTTCTGGGTAGTACATTTCAACAAGTTCTCCAATGTCCTTATTTACAGTCCATTCTCTTTCAGTGCCTCAAAAGTCCATTCAGTAGTCAGAATTTTCAGTTCCAGGAGACACTGAAAGCCCATATTAGTACAGACATAGTTAAGATTTTGGATATTATAGTCTTCTGACTCCATAAATACTTTTTTTTCCCCCCATTTTTCCTCCACTACCCGTCTACTGCAGGTCTGAGGACAGTCCATTTCTCCAGTTTAGGCAAACGTTGAATAAGTGCAATGTCTAGTATAATGTCAAGAAAATACAAACCCACACGTACATACATACGTACAGTACATGACTAACTGATAAACTTGATTAGCTATACAAGGGTGCCATTCTCCAAGCTGAAACCAAAGAGCTGCATGTTAATGCACCTCTATAACATCCAGTGTCCATTGGGTAGGGGTGGGAAGCATGTGAGCTCACCTGAACTGGATACTGTCAGTAGATAGTTTGGTTAAATTGTCCATGTGTTTCTGTACAGTGACTTTTGTAAGTTGTGAATCCAATGGGAAGTGTAGTTCATACACACAGAGATTTATTCCAAAATGGAATATCCCAAAAAAAAAAAAAAAAAAAGATGTTTAAAATCTTATCTTTTTCATCAAATGTCAAGTTGCTGAAACTTTTCTAGTAAGTAGTAGATTTTTCTTATGAACTTAATGGTTCAGCTCCATGTTTCAGTCTTTGGGACAAATGCAAAAATAATTATGGAGTGACAGCTAGACACGGCAAACCAGAACAATGGGTGTTATTTCTCAGTGGAATCAGTGGTAATACCAACTGGTTTACATTATGGGGTGTATTCTCATTAAATGTTAATAGCAAAAATATCATTAAATGAAGCTTTAGGGAAATTTTATGACCCTTTTTCTTATTTAACCTGTCATGTTACACTTCTGTCCAGTCAGATAAAAGCAATGTTTTTGTTTTTGTTTGTTTGAGGGGCTGTTTTGGGCTGTGAAGTTTTGAAAGTGCATCATCAATCAGAACAGTCTTAATTCTGTCATAAAATATCATAATACTCTCCATGGCTGGATTTTTACCATTGATCATCAAAGTGCCTATAGCATATGTTACTTCAAGCCACACCTCGCTTACTAGATTCTGGCAGCTTCATCCAGAGGACAAGGACAAAATGACAGAGCAATGCCTGACCCTCAGATAACAGTGTCACAGACCTTAATCCATTTCATTAGTGGAAGAAAATTAAATAAACTAATTCAGAGATAATGCCTTTGCAAACACAATAAGAGAACAAACTTCTATGTGCATGTAAATCCGTCCAACCACAAAGGGATCTAATTATCTTTTGGAATGATTATTTTGTCACTAGATATTCACAAAGAGAAATGATAAATAGAGATAATTAGTCCAAAGGATCAGTAAAAGTGCAGCAAGAAAGGAAAAAGCCCAGTTGACCCAGGGTTTGAAAGTGTGTGTATATGTGTGGAGAGCCATACCAGTGACTACCTCCTTTTTTTTTCTTCACCAGAGTGTTACAGTTCTGTTGTAAATGTCATGATCTGAGAAAAGCACACCGACTTTGACCAGGCTAAACCTAACTGAGGGTTAAATGAACATGTAATGTGTAACCACTTGGGAAGAGGGAACAAAGAGGAGAGAGAGAGATGAAGAGAGAGAGAGAGATGAAGAGAGAGAGAGAGAGAGAGCGAGAGAAAGCGAGCGGGGGGAAAATGAGAGGACCAGAACAAAACAAGTCTAGAAATAATGTGCTCGAGAGCTCAACCCTCAGCCTTCAGTATCAGGCCTGAGGTCAGCTCGCCCAAACATTCGCTCTATCTGTCTGCCTGCCTGTGTGCCTCTGCCAGAGAGACGCATTGATCCAAGCGTTGCCGCTGAACCGCCATTAGCTGGAGTAGATCTGGGTCCCAATCACACGCATGATCTCCTTCTGAACCTTAGGCTCCTGGGTGTTGATGTTGGCATCTCCTACTTGGCCATCCTCATACCTGCAAACATACATAGATACATAGAGTTTGCATGCAGTATAGTTAATGATCATTCAGTATAGTTTATAATTCTGTGAAACATTTTTTATTTTCCAGCGTGTTTCTGTAGTACTTGGTGGTGTAATGGGGAAAAATAAATAAAATATACTCTTATCTTATGAACAAGGTATAATACTGTTCAAGGTTTCCATGACAACTGAGCCTCAGTGAGTTACTTTTATCACTACAGTGACTTTATGAGGAGCGATCTTAGGTCTGACACAATAAATCTTCTTTTTTTTATTCTAACCATATCAACCATTTCTTCAAGCTGAAAAATACAACCATACAGACAGCACAAGTTCAGAACTGAATTATATTTAGCTGTGATTTAAATTTGATTGCAGGCCATCTCAAATCTGATTTCCAACTCATTAGACAGCAGTGGACACGTTAATAGACTTTGCCATCTGGTGAAAGCTTGGACTCCGAGAGCCCTAACATCAGCAGTCAGTGTGGATGCCATGTTTTATCTGCTGGGCTCCAACCATCATATTGAAAGTCTTTGACCTGAGAGGAACCCAGTTTAGTGGAGTGGTAGCACCACTCAACCATGAGCACAATTTATTCACTACCAGTTTAAAATGATGATGTGTGACGAGGGACAACAGCATCATGTACCATCATTCTTCATTAAATCACTGTCATCGTGTGCAGCTTAGCAGGTAAAAATAAGCATCCTGAGTGAATGAGCTATGCATTTTAAGTGTGTTGATAGTTTTAATATTTGCTGCCTGTTTGCTATGCCAACTCTTTTGGTAATTAGGCATTCATTCTGTGGAAATGATCGAGGAGTTCAAAGCGCTGGGAGTACTTACACAAAAAAGAAGCGAGTACAGACGTGGTCGGATACAGGACACACCCAGATGTTACCGTGTTTCTGCAGATCCTTAGATGTGATAACTGTTTAAAAGAGAGAAGCATGTTTCACCAAAACTTTCTTATGATTTTATTATTTTTATTATTACTATTGGTTGTAGTAGTAGTGTTGCGTTTGTATTCTATAATATTACATAAATGATGTACTTTATTTCTTCTGTTTATTTTTAACTGATTTCTCCTATTATGATGATTATGATCACATTATGATAATTGCTAAGAATTTTTTTTTTTTTCAAATAAAATTGCATATGAATACACTAGTCACATTACACACTTTTATTTTGATTTTAATCATCTAACTTCATGGAATTTTCTTCCTGTTCTGCTTTTCTTTGGTAAATGGTTTTCAAATTTGATAAGAGAGAGAGACCGTATTCACTAAAATGTTTATTAAGTAATTAATATAATTAGTTAACTAATGTGTTTTTTTCATATTTTTATTTAAATGTGCACTTATTCATAGACAGAACACTTTATCTCAGCTTTAACATATATTATGCCTCCTGCTTGTTATTACCTTCACACAGAGCGATGCAGTTCAGATTTCGACTCTGAAGGAACCTTGATTGTATTGGACGACTCTGTTGAAAAAACAGGCAACAGTAAGGACAACAGCCAAGCTACTAAAGCAAATACTGTGATCTACTGAGTTTTTACCTTGATAGTTACACACTGAAACTGTACAGAGTGCAACAGTCAGAGCCAGGGCAAAGGAAGAAACATTTGAATTCAGTTTATACATTTTAAAATACATTAATAGTCCTCATCTGGCAATCAGTGTAGATTTCCCTCAGGGCCACAAATTGTCCAATTCCTCTGCCCCTCTATTTACATATCTTCTTTGATAGTAATGGGAACCTGGAGCCAACAATCTATTACTTTATAAATTCAATACATATGTGAGGATGTAATATGTCCTGTCATCTCACCTGTGGTATGGTGTTCATACGGTTGTAACGCTGCACCAGTTCATCTTTGGTGGGCATGCGGTGCTGTCCTTTCCCCATTCCTGCAAGAAGCAGCACACAGAGAGCAAACAGCCCTCAGTCAGAACGACCTTACCTTGAGTCATTCAAGCTGTGAAAAACCTTCCTCTAGTGGTCTTGAACTACTTGTACAGATAAATTATTACCCGTGGTGCTAACCTTCATATGAAGGTTATTGGTCCAAAATGCTACTGAACATTTCTACAGAAAAAAAAAAACAACTGCCAAATGATTTTCATCAAAAACAAAGGGGATACAGCAAATATAGCTTAAGTACAACATTATATCAGAAGTACTGCAACTGTGCTTAGAGAAGTAGTTAACCTTACCAGCAAGGACAGATCAAACCAAGTGGTTTTAAGGCCAAAACCTCACACATTTTCATATGTTGTCAGTCTTTAGCTTAGATTCAAGAATGCCATCCTTAAAGTTAGGAAACCATGGGCTTAAAGTGCCGGTGGGCCCTGCTTGGTAACCTGATGACCTGCTGTCCACATAACCAGTAGCAGACTACCATTGTAGGACCTGAAATCCAACCTCTGAGTTTGTGTTTCAGCAGAAATACACAAGGAGAAGTAAAGACTTAGTTAAGGCTTAGTTATATGGTTGTACAGCCCCACCCAACAAAAAGAAAGCAATACAAAAAGCCAACCAAGTACAAAGTAACACACATAAATCCACTGACAGCTCCATTTTATGCAGCCACAACATAAAGTATGGTATGGTAGGCGGCACATAAGCTCAGAGGCACAAGGCCCGGCACCCAAAATGGATACACAACACAGTGCAGCACAATAGGATAGCATGGACAGCTCCCACATGTGAAAATGAAGTGTTCCAGGATGATAATCAGGCCATGTCACACACAGAGAACACACAGAGTCATGTCAACCAACATGGTGGAAAAAAAAGGAAGAGGGGGAGCCGGTGGGGTCTGAGTGGCGAGGAATGAGCCGTTCCTACCTGAGTATCCAAAAGATATGCTGGAGATGGGGCTCAGATAGATGCCCTTTCCATATGCTGCCCCATGCAGCTTGGGTTTAAAAAGAGCAAGAAGGAAGGGTCACTGAGCAGTTGCACAGGACGACCTCACATACACACACACGCGGTATGTGTACTCTCACATACAGTGCAAATACATACCAAACTTACTGTAGTCAAGTCATAGGAAAATCTGTATACATCAGTGTTTTATATGTCTTTCTGCAACAGTTTACATGGCACACCCAACCAACAAAGCATACTAAATACCCATACCCAAACCCATACACACACTCACCCATACACACACAAAAATCGAGAGATGGTGGACAGCAAAGAACCGAAGAGAGATCTTCACACCTTTTAACTGTGAACATATTTTGTCCTTGCAACATAACGCAGTCCAGTTGAGATCATTTCATGCTGTTGAATTTTGTGAGTGAAATTTGTGTATAAAATGTTCAGGTATTCAAGCAATGTTGAAATCAAAAAATGAGACCACGAATCCTGCTTTGAAGATGAAAGATGATATGAAGATGACTGACAATGATGATGATGGGCCTTCACACAAGGATGTCCGTAATAAGGAAAACTGAAGGACCACAGGTGAGCCGCAATGACACCAGAGGAGAAACAAGAGGAAGAACAAAGAGCGACTTGATGGGAATAAAATGGGAGGAAGATGGAGGTCACGGACGTGGAGGACGTGGCACATCTGGGAGAAATCAAAAGGAACAATAGACGAGAGGTTTTGTGTGACGGCTGGACCTGGAGGCAGAGTCAGCCCTCCTCCTCCTCCTCCTGTGGAACACAATGACAGAGGTGGGGGGGGGGGTGTCAATGCTCAAGGTGAAACAGAGAGGAGAAAGAGGAGGCAGACGAGCATTGAGCCAAGATCAAAGATGGAAAGTTCAAAAAGTTGGAGAACAAAGAAGGCATAAATGAAACACATCAGCATGATAGAGCAATCATGGCCGACGTGAAAGTTTCATAGATCCTTGAGATTTCAGATTTAATTGTGTTTAATCTCTTTTCAGGACGTGCCGGTGTATTTCCAAGCAGTCATTATCAGCCGTATTGTGCAAATGAGACAATTCTGTGCTCTAAAGCGCTGACTTCTTCTTTTCTTGTTGTATTATTTATTGTCTTTCACAACCTGGGTCACACAGTGCAACAGCAACCTTGGCAGAACAACATAAAGATGCAGATGTATGCAGACCTGAGTAAAACTGTGGCAGGAAGCAAGGTATGGTTTTTATGCCTTTACCTTGAAATTATCTTTATGGTCCTGATTCGGTCAATTGTACCCTTACAGGGATGTCACGAGAACCGATACCAAATTGATGCCAAAATTCTGAAAATATAATACGTTAAAGGTACCACAGGAACCATATATGTTGTAGGTACTAGAGATCTGATTCTTCCAGGACGGACGCAGGCAGTATAATAACGTGTTCTAGTCTGTAGGCAATATACATACAATAACATGAGGAAAGACAACGGCAAGTGCAGCAGCAGGTCCGACTTCTGGGAAAAAAAACACCCACATGATTATTTGATGCAGATCATCAGCGACAAGTTAGAGATGGCCCAGAGCCAGTATGACATCCAAACGGTGTCACAGAGCGTTTCCAATGAAATAAGGAAACACCTCAAACTTGTATAAGCAGCTCAAAGCAGCTCAAAGACAGTATGTACAGGACGTGTACATAGAATTCAGGGTGAGTGAGTTTCAGTTGTCAATCTTATATTAACAACATGTCCTCAAACTGTTCATGTCTTGAAATGTTACCGTTATTGTTTGTGAACTGTGACAGCTGCCATCTGTTGTAGCAATGCTTCACACACAATGTTCACAAAGGCTAACGTTAGCTTGTTGAGGCTAACGTAGCGACAACTCCTTATGCGAGCTGGAAGGCCGCAACATGACGTCATTACTGTTCAGTCACAATAAAACGCTGACTTTTTAAATGAATATTTTCACACCACAGGTCGGTCTGTCACCTTTCTGCTCATGCTGCTGCATGAGTGTGTGTTTGTGTTTGCACTGTGTGTGCAGCAGCTTATATTGTTTTCTCTGTAGTTTCTTGCTGTTGTATCAAATTTGGTATCGAGAATCGTGGAATTGCATTAGTATCAGTACTGACTACCGAATTCCTGGTATCGTGACATCCCTATAGTCATCTGGTATAATTTTTTAATGATTTAAGGCTAATGTGTGACCTAGGTCTGAATAGATAATGAGTGGTGCCAGTTACTGACCTTATATGGAGGCCTTCCTTATTCACCTTCAGGAAGTATGTACTCACTATCGTGTAGCTTGTCCTTTGCATCCGTCAGCTTCAGACCTAGCCTACTCAGTGCTCTAGGTGGTTTACCCCTACAGGGCACACAAGCAGCCTCCTGACATCACAGCTGACACCACAGTCCCCTCCCTTTGTGCCACAACAGGAAGAGACGTGCTGTCTGCTGCTGTCGGTGGAGTAAAGAAGCAGCCGACATTGGCCAGGAAAATCTCCCAGTGTGCCCTGCTCGCTAAAATGCCAATTGCAAAGCTGATGAAAGGGAAGCTGGCATCCATTAACTGCAAAAATGAATCAGCCGGACAGCGAGCCTGCTCTACCCGAGAGCAGGTTTACTGTCCGAGAGGAGATGCATCGTAAATTCCAGCCAACTGTCAGGGTTACGTACCTGCAGTTTGGTATAAGAGGCATTGACTAGTCCATTTCTCAGAACAGAGTGCCAGTTCTCTATATGGGAACCACTAGAGCAAGTGTAGAGAGAGGGAGAGATAAGAAAGAGGAGATAAAACAAAGTGCTGTGTGACGCGTGGATCTAAATGCGCAGCCACTGATTTGTAGTGGCCAGATCCATGCTGTTCAACCTCTGACTCACTGTACCAAAATCTTGGTAAAAATATTGTGTCAGAAAATCTAATTAAATGAAATAAAAACAGCTTATCTGTTATATCAGCTGTCAATGGAGAGCAGAAAAGGGGATTGGCAAATGGACATTTACTAAAACACTACTATTTGTATTTACTGTCTAAAAAATGTCATGAACTAATAGTCTTGTGTGCAGAGTCTACAAAAAAAGTTATATTAGCTTTACAGCAGCTATTTTCTAAGACCTACTATTCAAATCCATAAAGATTGAGAGTCAAAGATTCAAACTCTCAACCTCAAAGGAAGTACTACACTCATCTATTTATACCATTTGTGAGAGGACATATTAAAAGTACTAAAAGGTAAAGATGAAAGATGACAACCCATCACTGCTGTCTTTCAGTGCAGGATGGGTTATTTGAATACATCTCCCAGTGCAGATATCTGAACTGTCTTAAAATAAAATAGAACAGCGGTCACAGCAGTGTCATCAGTGCTGTTATTTTTAACTACTCTCAAAGCAGCATGAGGTTCTTCTTCCCACAGTCTAAAAAATAAACAGGGAAAAGTTCCTCATTTCACTTATCAGTTGTTTAAAGATTTCTCTTTTCAATCTCGCAGATTGTCATTAATTTGACTCTGAACATGTATTTATATTTTATATATGTTTCTATTTATATCCATATAAAATGATGGCAGCCAAGCTGACTTACATTTTTGGTATTTTCTGCTGAGAATTATTCATTTTGTGGTATTAATCAGCACAAAGAGAGACTGTTAACACTGCTCATGAGTGAGTTGTACCCTGCAAGTGCCCAGATGGGCTGTGTGTGTCTAAAATATTCAGCAGAGCCCCATCTGCTACAGTACAAATCTCTATCTCACAGATATTGCTGGCTCCATGTGCTGGCTTAGCAAGGTGGTTTCTCTGTCCAAGAGAATGGCCACTGCTCTGTGCTGTTGTTTGTTGTGGTTCCATTAAAATCTGCTAGAATGGCCTCTCCATCGGCAACATAATGACCAGGTGTTACACTGAGACATGTTCATGTGTGTACTCCTGTAATGCTAAATTATGCATGTATTTCAGTTCTTATTCTGCTTGATATGAGATTGGTTATTGTGAGTATGTGATTTCCCACATTAATTTTTGCTCTACAAGCCACAATCTTTTACAATTAATTTGTGATATTTCAAGTCACACGAGTTGAAGTAGTTATACAATGAAAAGACAGAGTATCGATTGTATGGCAGCTGCAAAGGCCAATGGCAGGGGCAAATTGGACTCACTGGAAGGCGAAGGTGCTGCCGTATAGCTTCTTGGCAGTGCGAAAACGAGCCTCCTTGGCTGGGGGACTGCTGAGCAGCAGGAACTGGTGGGAAGTGTGCATGAATTTCAGTTGCTACAACAATGAGGTCATGAGGGACAGGTGAGAGCAAGAGAGAGACAAACAGAAATATAGAAAAAGTGAGCATGAGGCATCAAGCTACACAATGCAGCAGTAAACAATTAATTTAATAAAGGAGACTTGAGGGGATGTCGTTCTGGTGTCCTACCCTACTGAGAGGCAGCTTGACGATATGAGACCTGTTACTGGAAATAATCCTGCAGAGAGAAAGAAAGAAGATCAAATAATAAGTGTAACAGAATTTAAAGTGCCTGACATTTTGCTCCCACCCTCACATAATAGCATGAAAAACCACAACAGAACTCTTTCGCAACAGATACTCTGACTTGTCATTGTAGGAAAAGCACTGTTTCTAAGAACATAAATGCTGGTTCTAATCATGTGTCCCAGTGAGTCATGACAGCATGACAAAGAGGCAGTATGTACAATAACAGAACACTGAAACTGAAGCAGCTAAATGGATCTCAGTTATCATTAATTTCATCATTTATACCAGTGCTTTTCCTGCTGTGACGTAATTAAATGTCTATTAAAATGAACCCATTAGCATTACAGTATTGTCCATGAACATTTAACTAATATGGTAAGTTTGACATGCTCTCTACTGATGAGTAATGCTGTATATTATTTTCTGAAATGATGTCAAAAAGCCTGTAAACCTGGAAAGTAGAGTAAATCCATTTTTAGGTCTACTCACCACTGTAGCAGGGGATGTGCCAAAGGATCCAGTTTGTCCATCTGTTTCTTGATCTCCAGATATGAGCCCTGGAAAATCCACACAAGGCAGAAATGTGATTGATACACAGTATAGATGCAGTTCAGGGAAAAGCAACACAGAAAAAATAAACTAATCAGCTGTAACTGTCGCTTTGATAGACAAAAAGCCCCCCCCCCATGTAGCTCAACAACCACTAAACACAGGACTGTGTAACAAACACTATCAGGCCTATGGCGGACATAGAATGAGGATCTCATATAAACCGAAAACCTTCAAATTGTATCTGCACATTATACATGAAGCTTAACAGTAGCCTTGATTCATCTGCTGTGGCCCCTCCCCTTCTGTCCCTCCCATCTCCTCCTTGTACCTGGGTCATTTCCCGGATGGACATGACGCTATCCAGTGCTTTCTGCAGTCTCTCATAATTCTTCTTCTGTGTTCATTGGTTGAGCCAAACATCCATTGGTATGCAATGAGAGAGGGAACAACATACAGATATCTAAAATCACTTGTAAAGGTTAGAGTTTGCTAAAATATTCTAATTAAAAATATCACCTATCCATTTTACAGAAAAAAAAAAGTGTCACTGTTATAAAATCTCATGCATTCATCTTGTGAATAGCTACAGCGGCATTGGTTTTAACAGAATAGATGTTATGCTTTACAAACGGATATGTCATCTTTGAATGAAATTCATGCATTGATATAGTTAGAAATCACGATTCCAGCAGTGAGGATGCTGACCTTTGGGTTGAAGGCCAGAGTCTTGGGGTCATTGGGGTCAACGACTGATGGGTAGGGCTCAAAGATGATGCTCTTACGGGGAGACTCAAGAGCAGCTCGACACATAGCCACAAGTAGGTCCACCACCTGGGAAGACAGGGTTTTAACATATTCATATTAATTTCATGCCTTTAGCTGATGCTGGCATTGACTTATTTTGATGGTTTAATTGACTCAGTGTAACACGACAGTAGAACCCGCCTCAGTTCCAGGAAAACATATAAACATATAAATCTACAGTATGTGAGGCTTTTATTCTTTAATCTAAAACCCAAAAGGACATTTTTGGGAGATGAGAGTAAATTAATGCAGTAGCACTAATAATCAGTGCTAATCAGAGTTACATCATATACAATGTGTTGCTGTCACCTCTGCCCCAGTGGCCACTTCCTCTGCAGCTCCAGACATCACACCCAGAGTGTAAAAGGAGAACACACACAGCTCCCTGGTGCACACTGCGGGCTACATAAGCACACAGACACAAAGAATTATTAAATAACAACTCATTTGGATGTGTACTACATACCTACACAAAAGCAAATCAAGCCACCCACACATGTACTGACACCCACTCTCTAGATAACAGGATCATATTACTAATACAGAGAGAAAACATCCCGTTCATGATGTTCATAACGTTTTAACCAATAGGGAAAGGGTTATAAATCTACAGTGTACGTTTCTCTTTCTTGTCTGAGTTACCTTCAGCATGGATCCATTCTGAAAGACGTGCTGTTCGTCACAGACCACGCAATACTCGTTGAGCGTGGGGATCCTCTGCTCTGAGTACTTCATTATCTGTTAGGAGAAAAGCACAGTGGTGTTCCCAGTTATCACTCCCACTTCCACCACTGCCATATAAAGGAATACAGACACAATGCTTTGTGGGCCCCCAGCCTTTGTCGGTTCCAGCTACCAGCAGATACACAATCCCCCACATAAACAGCTAATACAACAGGGCCCTCGTATCCATGCAGTAGGCCCTAATTGTTGCTTACATACATACCTGAACCTAACATTAATCAAGTCTCATGGAGAGAAACAGACATTTACAGACATTTACAAATCACTCACAGATACTGAATACTATTCTGATGCACTATACTGTATTTTATTGCTCTATAAATGCTCAGAAAACTGTCTCCTCATCAAAATCCAATGAAAAAGTCATTGGTTTTAAATGTCTATCAGGTGTTTACAGTGTAGAGAGGACTCTCAAAGGACCGGGTGTAAAGCTGCCCCTTGCTAAGTGAACTCTTATCTCCTTAAGGTCTAACCTGCACTAAGAAGCCATACTCCAAGGTAGGGATGTTCTTGCAGTGGCCGCCCGCCTGGGATGAGAAAAACAATTCAATCAGCTGCCTCGTGGTAATCTGCGCTGGGGCCCTGGCCGCCGGGACAGCCACAGTCTGATGAGTCAAGTGAAGACAAAGCATTATGGGAAACGGCGCAGCAGCCATGTAACGGTAAGGGTAGGGAACGGCTCAGGTGGGAACAGAGCAGGTGGCGGGTGACTGAGAAGAGGGTCAGAGTGGATCACAGTGGATTAAAACAACATACAGTGCCTTAAAAACAGCATGCAGCCGCCCCCCCACCCCTCCACCCCACCCCCCAAATTGTGCAAAACTGTGGATGACTTTGAACCTGCTATTATAGAATCATTAGTCGAAATATCAGCCATGTTACAAGTGAACGTAAGAAGTGCCGTGTTTATAGTGTCAGTGTTGTGACAACAGCCCTGTGACCACAACATGACGTGAGTGAGACACGCTAAAGGCAACAAAATGAAACTAAAAGGCATCTGAGTAGATGTAGAGCTGCTGATTTGTTCTGACTGGCACTGACCTGGCTGTTTGGGGGATAGCTGAACAGCTCCCCTTTGGGGTTCTTCATGGTACATGAGATCGAGCGGTTCATCAGGCGGGTCACTCTCAGCTCAGGGACGCTCAGCTTCCCTTTTAAAACTGTGTCTTGGATCAGAGGAAAACTTGGAGACCTGGTAAAGAGCAGACACAAAACAATGTGCATCAGTTTATAAATCATTTTTCAAAGATAAGGGAATGCTAATATTGTTGTTGTTTATATCTTGGTTAAAAAAAAAATTGACGGGACGGTTTCGCTTCAAAGCAAAAAAAAATTCTGGTTTTAATAGCTAAATCAGAAATTTTGCTTATTATTCTAATGTTGCTCTGAATAAAATCTTAATTATCAGTGACAGCATTTGCAACATCTCTTCAGCTGTAATCATGTATGGTGAGACTGCCATGTGTTAACCTGGTTGGTCCAGAGGTAATTTAATAGTGACTCCACTCACTACACTTACAGTATTATGCTAGCTCAGACAAGTGAAATCTGTTTAGACAGTAGCTCAAGTCACTAACTGTTAAAATACAAGAACCAGTGTTCACTTCCACCATCACTCTCAGGACATTATCCAGGTCCATTCCTCCTGACATGAGACTCCTGTCAAGTCACGAGGATGTCAAGACAGCCTAGTAGTTAGTGAAGCTGACCTCCATCGAGTGGGCTGAGATTCAGTCCCCGTGCACCCATAACTGTCAAAGCATCCTGAAGGAAGACAGAGGCCGAGAAGAGCACTTTCTCCCTCGGGAAAATTGGTTGAGTGTGTCAGATTTTGAATTTATGTCAATCTGCGCTGTGCTGTGTCAGAGCTTCCTTTCCCCTAGCTCGTCATCTCTGCCTTCAGTTCACCTTTCACAGACAAACCTTCAAAAAGTGTTTTCATCACTATTTTTACAGCTCGCCGTTTGTTGACCAGATGGATGACATTTTGCCTTGATCTCTCAGAAATCTCCAGTCTTAGAAAAATAACTTGCTTGTAAGTGAGTAAAATCTATTTGCTGTATATAGCACCTTTCAAGATCAGACATCATAAAGTCATGTCAAAGAAAGACACAAGAGACACAATGTAGAAGTAATAAATATAAAAGAAAGTAACAATAAAACACATGCTGTAGACATTATTCCCCAAGAAACAGGATATTTCATGGTGAAGACATGTCTAGAGCTAAGTGAGCAGGTATAGACTGAATAAAATAACTTCAGCGGTGCACAATATACTGAGAAACCCTAAGCAATAATAAGATATTTTCAAATTATAATTACCAACCAATTTTAAATTGATAAACTTTAGATACAGCTTTCTATTATTTCCTAAAAAATATGAAGAAAGCAGGATTTGTGCCTTTTAATTTTTTTCTAAAAATTGCTTTTACTTTGGTTACAATAACACTGTCAAATATTTACCTACTGTGGAAAAAAATGCAAGAATATACTACAGATGTTATGCCAAAACAATAATAAAATAGCTGTTTTATGTACTTGAGGTAAATCAATTTGTATTAATCTGTAGTATTTAGAAACAAATCAGAGCAATAACTAATAAACCAGCGCTTTTTAAACAGCAGCATCTAAACAAAGCATCACAATCACAGCATTGCAGGTGAATTCCAACTATAGACATTTTGCAATGAAATGAAAAGTATCTGCATTATTGTTATTGGCCAAAATCGCCTATATCAGTTTATCAGATATTGCTAAAAATGTTCATATCTTGCATGCCTACTACTGTGGTATACCATTACAGTACAGAGCATAGTATGTTTTCATTTGCTTTTTGAAAATGTTAATACATTTATTCTACATTACAGTGTTAGCTACAATCCTAAAATGCTGCTATTTATAACACAGGCGTGATGGAGTGGATGGCTTGAAAGAGATACAGAGTGAGAGAGAGAAACCTACTTGGGTATGGGGGAGAAGATGCTGAGCCCGGCACGGAACTTCTTGATGGTTCCTCCGGCTTTGAACCAGCTGTGCCTCTTCTCCTGCTGGGCCTTGAGGAACTCATTACTGAGGTGCTTCCACTGCTGTGAGGTGAACGTGCTCAGGATCCTGCCGCGTTACAAAACAGTCAAGCAGGAAGAAATGTGAGTGAATCTGGCAGAGGGTGAATTACTCTTTCAGTCAGCTACTGTTTGTCATTAGTGCACATTATTTTGTTTGAGTGGAACCAAAGGATCACAAAGACTAAAGTTTACAATTAAATGTTTATGCCTTATGCAAGTATTTTGTAAATCCATTGGGGATTTTTAAAGTCAAAAATAAATAATCTGTGGTTTCTATTTCTGAGGCTGAACATCTGATTTAGCAAAATGTTACTTTTTATAGAAAACTGTGATTAAATCATGAAATCTACAATGCACAATTTCACTATAAAACATTATAGGTGTTAAACGTAATAGATCACATCGCTTACTTTTTGAGTTGCAGGCCCAGACTGAAACCTTCTTTATTGGAGGGCTGGAACACTTCTACTGACGGCTCTGAGTAAAGATGACTAACATTATTACACAGTGCACATATTCACACACACTCTTTCTTTCACTGTCCCTCTTGTGTAGCACATATCGTACTCACCTCCCACGCTCAGTGAGTAGCACAAATACCTAAAGTCCCTCCCAGAAAACCAACATCCACACTGACATCTTTACTCACCAGGTCCATCGAGGTACTGAGAAAGAGAAAAGCGCAGTCTCAGAATAATGGGCTCTGTTCTGATAACTTTCCAAGCTGTCGCAACCTCCTCCTGAGTCAGACACACACACACATACACACATACACACAAATATACAGAGTTAGCACCCTAATTAAGGCCATTTCTCATTATATAAATAAATAATGAGCACACGATGCATTATAAATGATGTGTTACTTTGCAAAATGGCAACGTTAGAATAGTAATGGGCAAAGATGGAGGACGTGTGTGCACAGAAAGAAGAATGCTGACTCACATCTAAGAAACCGATGTTAATGTGAAGATCGATGTCCACGTCATCAATTGTTCCGTACTCCCTGTTCAGGGACACAACAACAGATACAGTTAATTTATCATAAGTAATGGGATGCATTACACTCCAACCCTTTCAACTGATTATCCCTTGAGGGAGAAAAATGAGGGTTCTTTTTTTCCTGTTTTGTCAGACCGTGCCGAGTTAAAATTAGTACGTAATCTCTTTGAATCACGCCCTTGTATTCTGTACAGCTAATTAAGAATAGCCAGCAGACTGAATCTCACCACCACTTGGTTATTCTGTTTGTTTCAACATTTTTAAAAATAGCTCACATACAGTATATGTGTGTGTGTATCTGTGCCGTACCTGACAGAGACAGCACTGTCAGTGTAGATGTCTTTTACTGCCTCAATGTCTGCATCCAGCTGAGGGTGACGGTACAGGTCGGCAGCACAGCTCCCCTGCAACAAGCACTGGTCACAATTGCAGCACTGAATTCTCCACAGATTCACCTGTCATCTTCCAAATGTGTTCATTTAAAATTTAAAATGATTTTATACTGTTTTCTACTCCACACAAATAATTACACAAAAGTGGATTTCATTGTAATAATGTCTGGTCAAGTTTGCATTTGTGCTCCTACTACTTGGAGTGGCAGAAGCTGAAGTTTCCAACCATTTGTTGATTACTTTCAGCTTACTATTTCAACTGTTAATTATTATTTTTAGCTATCAATTTTCACAATTTATCCATTAGGTTTAGAATTTTAAACAACCACTTTTAGCTAGTACACCCATTTATCCATTGCTGTTAGTTAATATATTTCCATCATTTAGCTTTTAAGCTTTTAGCTAACAATTTCAACCAGCTTTCCATTAATTTAGAAATCTATTTCTATCACTTTTAGTAGTTTTAGCTATTTAAAATGTCCATTTTAGCTAACCAATTCAACTGTTTATCCATTAATTTTACTTTTTCAACCTCTTTTCATTTGCTTTATCAAACTATTTCAACAAAACCTTTTATTAATTAGCTATTTAATTTATCCATTACTTTTAGCTACCTCTCTGCTCACTCGCTAACAAGTTTTTAATGCTCTCTCAGTGTTCAGGTGTTACAGCTGATTCAATGTAAATATGTATCTAAATATATTACATGTAAATATATTTTTTAATCAAATCTATTTCTTTTTTTTCAGTATCTTAATCCTTCCTTGTAGCCACTGGCAACTGCAGAAGTACCCGCCAGGGTACAAGTGCCACTGATTTGGAATCACTGTTGTAGCAAAACTTGTGAAAGAGCATAAGGTACGTATAAGTAGCAGTCAGATAAAACTAGTTTACACTTTACATGAGCTTGTTTTTAACATCAGGCTGACTGTATCTGTGTGTTCTCTTGTCTGTTTGTAGGCCAGTAAACCATTAATGAACCAAACTCCGGCCCAGCTCGTAATGGTATTTGATCATGATATAAGATTCCACTAGTAAGATATCAAAATTTTCCTTTAAGGAAGTGGGATGTCCAGTTCAGCATGGCTTGAAATCTATTTGATTTAGCCATCATTTTCAGCTCTGATGCAACATCAAGCACATTTTATGTTTGCAATAAAATCATACATAGTTTACTGTGTGATAAAAAGGAAGAAATTATGAAACTTCAGGAGGTCTTTGTAAATCGGCTGCAGGCGATGAGAGTCTCTTTAAATGGGATGACTCGACCTACCCAGGATGTCAAACAGTGGTAGATAATTTGATATCCCAAAAAAAAGTTATATTTTTTAATGATTGTCTTACATTTAATATGTTCTGTGGTTACCTCAGCACACTTGGTATCCTTTAAAAAGCATATATGATTAGTAATAATAATAGTTGTCGCACGTGTTCTTGGTGTCTAGACTTGAAGTCAGACTTTCGTCTCCTCAGCTCTGAATGTGTAGAACATATCCCACACTTTCATCCTTATCTTCTCTACGCTGCTTTCATGTTCTCTGACTGCATAGAAATGAGCTTTAAGTCCCAGACTGGATTTACATTTCAATCACAAGACTCGGAAGATAACGGTAAAAACGTGTGAGTAACAGATTAAGATCTTGTGTGGAAGTGAATCATTGAACTTTACGAGATCAGATGATACATTAAATGGAAGCCATGGAAATTAATTTGACAGTGTTGCTTGTGATTGATACTTGCATGAGGTGATAGCACTAAAAAGGTACAGTGATACCTGATTTGAGAGAAAATGCTACATTTCTTCCAGAACCTGATTTGTACTTTAGTGTTGAATGTCATATTTGCTATTGTCACTTTGCAAGAATTCATATTTGAGACCAAGCCCAGGCACATGCCTTACATTTTAACTGAATATTCAGCTTCACATGATTTAAAATGTTTTCCCTGGTAGCAGTGAGGCATTAGGATGGAAATGTCAGTCAGCTGGTCCATCTGTTCTGCACTACCAGAGCAAGATATCTCAACCAGTATTGGCTGAATTTCCATGACATTTAGCCTAGATATTCATAATCCCCAAAAGAATCATTCTAAATTATTTTGGTGGCCCCTGACTTATTGTCTAGCGCCACCATCAGTTCAAAACTACCACCTTGACCGACACTGACGATGTCTTGAAAACCAGTGGCTGGTTTTCTGTGAAACTTGCGGTGGTTATTCATGATTGTTAGGGGGTGAATAATGTTGTCGGTGACCTTTCCTTTAGTGCCACCATTAGGCTAAAATACCAACTTGTACAAATGATATCTCATAATCTAACTGGCAGATTGCCACAAGGTTTGATAAAGACTTTATTTTAATGACCCCTAGGCTTTTCCTTTTGCACCACCCTCAGATTAAATTATATTTTTTTATCCAGACAACTAATGAGGCTCTAAGAATAACACTATCATCTTATGGGTGAAATAAAAACCTCAGCCTATGGGGTGCTGGTTGGTCTTCAGACATTTTAACTTCATTAAATTATTATGTGCTTTTTTTGCCAGCATTTTGCAGTAGTAGAACTTAGTAAAATCTTTGTAGTAGAATCGTATTTGTAAAAAAAAAAAAAAGGGTTAAAATTACATACTAACTTGGGGTTGTTATTGTTTTTTAATTATGCTATTGTTTTGAAATTAAAAGGATAATAACAGAAATATGTTAATATTGACGAGCTGTAAACATAATTTCAAAACCCTGACAACATCAGATTCAACATAGAGATTTAGGAGGGGTAATAGACTCCTCTGTACCTGAATGCCATACAGGAACTGTTCCGACTCATTCTCTCCGTCCGACTCCTCGTCTGTCCAACACTGGCCTTTGATGTCCTGTGGGCCCACACATTGTGAAAAGGCCATTATAGTGGAGCGGAAAGAAATTGTAACCTCTTTCTATCGTCCTTTCATCTCACATCCTTTCTCACATCTCCATATTTAGCCTCCCGTTCAAGGGCTTCAAAACACTACTTTATATAGCATCTCAAAGGGAGAGACAAAAAGGCATGATTTATTTCCAAAAGACAGGATATTCTCTAAATTCAATCTTCAAAAGAATACTCAACTGACAATTAAAAGGGATGAGTTAATAAAAAATAGATTTTCTGAAATATAAATAACCATGTCTTTTGCCATTTCCAAAGCCTGAAGCCCAGAGGTCCTGTTGCATAAACCTACAATTCCTATCTTATCTAATATATTTAGATTAAGCCAATACAATATTCAAATGTCTGTGGAAAGTCTGCACTGTCTGTCAGTAGCCACAACAATGTAATTTTATTTTACCTAAATTTGCCTCTTTCTATATCTTAAACAAAACCACAAATGGATGACTCAGCTTAGTCATAAACAGTGATTTCACCAATAGAATCCTAGCTGTCTTACCATTGGGTCTGCTGTTCATAGGGCTCACTCAGACAGGTTTAGGCCTGTGAATACTGCCAACCATTTCAGCCTATTTCCAGGTGGAAGGAACGAGAACAGAAAACCGGAGAGCTCTGGCTGACCGCCTCTCTTTCTTGCGCTCTATAGAACCGCACAACCTTGGAGAAACAGAAATTAAAAATCAATAATGGTAGAAAACACGAAACAAAGAGGCCATCTCCAGTGATGCCATGCCTTGTAAATGGTGCCCTCGTCCTCTTTTCTTTAAAACGTCTGTACTTCACCTTGCCATGTATCCTGTATCCTAGCAACAGCCATCTCTGCCTCCTTTCAGAGTGGCATTAATCACTGTGGAGAGAACGTGTGGGAGAAATGTGCTGTACATTCAGGACCCGGGATGTCTCCATTTCTTTGTTTTGTTTTCTTTTTTTCTAGGAACTTCATCTATCAATATTGAAACACCAAAGCTTGGCATAAAAATATAGATGCAAAGCAAAAACAGCACATCTGCTAATGTCAGTGCATTGTTAAATTGTTCTTGATTTGTATGAGAAATGAATACAAGGAAATCTTTGAAATTCCGTGTAATTTCCTGGGTTAGCATAAGAAAAGAAGATTGTAGCCAGGGGAAGTCAAGTGCAAAAAACCAAAGAATTGCACATAATAAAATAATGCTTGCCTAATAAAGGAATATTTACAGCTGAGGAGAATTAAAAAGCTCTCAAAAAAATGAATTTTATGAGGCCCGGATTTTGAAATAAATTACAACGAAATAAGAAGACAAACTGCATCATTGACACAGGCAGCCAGAGTACACTCTGTATTTTACAGCGGCCCATCACGTTTCGTGTCAGACATGTAAACAATGAACATAGTGTCTTTTTAATAAGACTTGGAGCAGTAGATGGAGAGATACGTGTTTTCGTCTACAGCATCAGAATTACAATTTACATTTTTTTAGTGCACGTGAAGCCAAAATAATGAGGAATTTATCATCTTTATCAGGACTACATGCTGAGCCTTGGGCAAACAGAGACTGGATGGCAACATAGCCTGGCACCACAAGACAGAGTGCCTAACAAAACCGTCACGCATGAAGGCATCTAAGCTATATATAGGTCCATATAATTAAAGAAACCAATTATTCATTTTCTCTTTGTGTGCTGCACTCACTTAGGACCTCAAGCTCATTCCCTCCATTAGACTGGGCCATTTTTGTCACGTCTACACAAAATAATCACGTCCTTATTATGAATATTTGTCCCTTTTTGTGTTAGGGATAGGCTCCTTTCTTTTAAAAAAAACACCCTTTCAGACATCAACTGCACCCAATTAAACATGGCTCCCCGGTCATTACCATGTCTTCCACTTCAGCTCCTCTCTTTTTCTATATATGCCTGCTGCCCTGCCATGTCCTCAACCCTGCTAGCATCTACACCCTGCCGCCCCCTACTCCTCGCCATTCCCATAGCCTCTGTCGTCTCACATACCAATGGAGTCTCCGATATCTCCCCCACCCCCTCTTACATCCACCACCACCACCGTCCCCATTCCTCCTTCTGATAACTATTAACACAAACACAGATGCAGTCAGGCGGATTTCCCCCTCCCCCCACGCTCTGCACCCCCACCCCAGCCATCCACACTTACCTCCACAGAGGATGGAGACTTGGATGCTGTCCTTGCTTCAGCTGCTCCCCCTCTTAAAGGGCACACCTGCCTCTCTCCCTCGGTGGCTGTTTTCCACTGAAATGATAGATGACAATAAGCCCATTAAAATAAGATATTAGAGAAACCGCTGCCACAGTCCCTCAATTCCACAGCATCTGCCTCTCGATGCTTGTGGTGTGTGTCTGCGAGCAAGCCAGCTGGTGTGTGTGAGTCTGTGTGTTTATCTATTGCAGATCTCTGCTCCTACTGCTGTCTTATATTTTGCCTGACAACACTGAGGGGTCTGAGCATGCTCACTGAGACCAGGCAAGCCGGTCATGTGACCTGCAGCTGACTGCACTGCTGCTGAGAAATAAGAGGAAAAAATGGAGGAAAAATGGCTCCGCTCGTGCATATGCATCTGCCTGTGTGTTTGTGTGTGGAGTGTGTGTGTGTGTGTGTGAGTCTGGTTGAAGAAGTCTGTCTATTAATGTGCACTCATGCTTTGAAGACAGTGTCTGGTTGTGTTTTTGTTATTGTCTAAATTCATTCAAAAAGAAAGGAAGAAAGGAAAAGCACAGATATGCTTGTATGCTACATTTGTGCTTTCATTTTAGCTTCAGTACATGTTGTATAAATGCAGCCAAGCATGCACTCAACATTCAAACTATATTAAAAATTTCAGTAATATAGTACTACTATAAAATTACAATTGAAAAGTACTTGCTCTATCTATGATACACAGTTTCATTGTGGGCATGTGTCAAACAAAGTCATTAGGCATTTGAGTTAATCAGTCTTTAGCCTCATTATCTCAAGGTATCTATTTAAGAACTGACCTAAAGAATAGACAGATTAATGAACAGGTGTTAGACCAACTGTCTGTCTACAGGAAAGCAGAACAGAAATTAAGATTTTTAAGCTTTTATTTGGAAAAAGGACAAAAAGGACACTGACACTGATGGCACAATATAAATAGAGGGGATACAGTCTGACATCATGCCATAGTTGCTTCATCAGCCAATATCATACGGTCTGCTACTTTTTGTATTTGAATAGGTGTTCCAGATCCACTTGTAGTGCGACTGTCCACAACTGTACAGCAACAGCTAGTGTTTGTTTTTCTAGATGAATCCAAAAATGCAGATTGAAACATAAATCCTTTAGACTTTCAGCATGGCCATTTTCTTTTCTCCATTTTCATCTGATTGCTAAAACTGCACCATTATCGGAACTTCCTGAATGTATCTCAGAGGATCATACAATGCAGTGAGCATGCTGTACAGTGAAGGAATTTTAAAATTACATCTCTCTTCTTTTGTGGAGGAAATTATTAACTGTTAACTCTCTTAAAAATATGATGTTATGGCTATATACGTAATTCAGTCAACCAGGCTGATTAAGTAACTAACACGTTGTAGTAAATTTAAAATATTTCTCAATACTTGACTGTAAAGTTCCCCCCCACCTCCACCACCTATTAAGGCGTCCTAGCTCCTCATCTCTGAGATTTATCTGAGGATATTCCCACAGTGTCTTACTGTACCTCGTGGCCCAGGGGTTAGCAGCCATTAATGCTGACTGACAGTCAGGGGCTTGGCCTGTGGACAGGGTGACTGGATGGTAGCTCTGTCCCTCACCTGGACAGGTGTGTCCATTGGCCTCAGGCACTGGCGTGGAGTCGATCCAGACAGAGGCTGCCAGCAACCAGTGAGGCAGCAAAATGGGCAGTGGAAGCAGCAGTGCTAACACCTCCACAGCTGTAAACAGGTGAGAGCAAAATGGGACTCTAGGGAAAGGGGACATTGAAGAGTGTGACTTTACCATAGGCCACAGTGGGAACGGAAAGAAATTGAGATGAACATTAGTGCAAAATAATAGTACTCCAATGAGTATCTTTGCCAGATTGATTTTTCTAATCTCTGCTGCAGAGTCTGAATGTTTAAATTTTAAATGTCACTATGGTTCAGATATGGTGGGTGTTTGTGTCTGTGTCAAGGACTTCTGCTATCTCCTTGGCAGAGCTGATTATCACAACAGAATTAATCATCCAGGGGACCATTTGTAACAAAGCTGCCTAGTGTCTACACTGGACAAAACAAACATTATATCTGTAATTATTGTCTGCCATTAATATAGCACAGTTAATTAGCACAGTAATGCCATTACACTAACCATCTTGACAATCTATAGCAATACAGTGGTGTCGCCTCTGTTCAACAAAGTTTCTTTCTATGTTCTGTGGAACTCAAATAATAATAATATTCTTATTCTTATTATAAACCTCCTAAGAGTATTAGTATAGCACTGCTAATAGGAGATGTATTTCTAATTTGTATAATGGTATTAGCATAGCAACATTGGCTGTGAAATTAAAAAAACATGTCATTTTTGAATGCAAAGTTTAAAAAGTAAACTCAAGTAAATATAGAGTAAATATTAGTGAATAACAATATAATATTTATGTTTATTTTTAATGTTTTTTTCCAATTTTCATATCACTGAAAATCATCTAAAACCTGTTATACCACTTTTCATCACTAGATGGAGGTATTGCCTCAGACACTGCAGTAGCAAGGTACCAGAATATGGAGGGGGTCCTCCTTGATTCATCATCACTCAAGCATCCATAGACCGGCTGCGAGCTGCCCATGCATTTGGTGCAATAAACAGTGATGGGGTGTAATTTTTGTTCCAGCTTTCAGAAGTAAATAGAGACACGAACAATATTTTGGCAGCCTACAAGACAGTTGGCTTAAATTTCCCATGCTTCCTATGAATAATTTGATAATTCGCACGATAATGGAGCCGAAAACACACAGACAGCATGACCAATTACTATTATGAATCTACTGTAGGGCCACTAAAATGGACAAGTCATTGAAAGCCATAACACCCAAACCACTGCGTTTTTCAGGAAACCACGCACACGCCATCAGTAGTCACATGTCGGACCCCATGCGCTACTGATGCATCCACGCTCCCCGATTGGCTCCCTAACTTTACCAAGCACTTCCACCTTGTTTCCGCATATCCTTCCGCGCGGTTCTTAGTTTTGTATCATTTATTGTATTTCCACAAGCGTAATACTGAAATAAAACACATATTTGAATAGTTACAGATGAATGTGGTTTATATGTATATCTTAAGGTAGTTCATTCCTTTCCAATTATCTATTTTCTTTCGGATGGATATGTCTCAGCATCCCTAGAAAGTAGTTCCGCAGAGTGAGGGACTAGGGAGATCACCTTGAGCTTGTCTCAGTGTAACAGCAGTGTTATCGGGCCACGTTGTTCAGCGAGGTAAGGTGGGTATCTTCAACAGGGGCTGCAGCTTCAGTGGTTATCGATACCCTGAATTGAATTAATAACTTGCGGGACACTTGCGTTGTCCCATTACTGCTTTAACAGTTTTGCCTTTTATAGCTGTAGCAACATCCTTCACGCTGGTAAGTCCGGGAATATGTGAGTCGGTCACTGCTGTATTGTATCCACTCTTTACTACTCAACTTCTTATGGAAATCATGTTTTAAAATGCCAGTACACCTGGACGTCTATAATTAGCCAAGATAAGTCCTGCTATGTTGGCTTAGTGTGTGTCAAACAACGTTATTCTTGAAATTGCAGTTAACGATGGATAAACTAATGTGTCCGGTCAGCTCTTTCTTTTACTATCTGATAACACGTTATAGTTACGATTTACTGCAAGCCGCAGTTATTACATTTAAAATTATGCAACTAAATTTGATGCGTTTAGTATTGAACGTTGAAGAATCGCTTCCTGTTGCCTCCTGTTGTGGGTGTGGCCGCTCAGTCCTCACGGCCTCCCATTGGTCAGACACCGTGATGCCTGTAGATCAGGAAAATGTGACGCAGGATGAGAACGTGATCTTTAGCGCATCGTCTCAGCTGTATTAAACTGTATTATAACAAAACGTTATTATGATAATTTGTTATCGTTAAATCGTATTATTATGTCATAAAACTTATAACATGAATTCACCTGAGTTAAAAACATTATTATTGCATTATTAGAAGTCGTGTGTCGTATTTCTTCCTGCCATTCACATGGCAGTTAGTCATTAGATAAGTTCATCACGTTCACCCTTCCATCCAGCTTTAAATAAACCCGAACCTCGTTCGTTATGCTGTAAGAAATAACCATCCTATGATAAATGTAATTTGAAGTGTGCCTCAGCAGCTTCACTGCAGTGGCTTGCTGCAGTGGTACTAAAGATAATAGGCCTTGTACTTGTACATGAGGAGCAAGGCTGATCTCACTCTGCCTTTCTAGGTTGCCAATAATTATTGATTTTATCTCTATGTGTTGCCCCTTTTTATATGATTACAATGTCATGTTTATAAGCCTGTTCCCAAAACAGCTGAAATAAGGTTATTTGACCAAGGCTGGGTCTTGTCTAAAGGTGCATGTAAAATCATAATGTCATATCCTTTGTCAAACATATCTACTGTGACGTGTGTAGGATATGCATAGGGCCTGCAGTGTAGCCTGCTTTGTTTTGTTGTAAGAAATAATTGTTTTGTGTTTAACAAAATTCTGGAGACACTGTCATTGCTATGTCCTTACTCGCCAAAGGCCCTGTTGACAAAATGGAGTCTTAATCCCAGGGGACCTGTCAGGTCATAATGTCAAGTGACTAGGAATTATGTTGAAGTGATGAGCTCAAGAAAGGGAAGTGGTCAGTGTCAGTCTATTACTTAAATCTAGGCTGTTGACCAAGAGCAGATAAGTTCGAAGGATTTCTTCTTTTCCCAAGTGATTTTAAGTCTCAGTTGTCATAAATCATCCCTTATGTCACAGTAGAATCTCATTTACTTAACAAATACATTTCAATCTCAAGTCAGTAAACTTTATCTGTAAATCCAGACTCCAGTATGCTGCAAGTATATACTATTAAATTGTAATTTCAGCTGTCACTGTTGATGTTTGCCTACTTTAAGGAGCACTTTGGCAAGTACACAGCCATTTGCAAAAAATGATAAGGTGGAGTTCATCAGCTACTGCAGTTAATGGATGGCAGAGCTGTAATTTTCTGTTCTGGCAGGAAGTGTCCTTGACCTGCTGTTGTGGTAAAATAATTTGAATGCAGCAGAGCCAGTGGTCAGTGCAGTGCAGGAGGCCTTTTGCAGCTGACACTGCTCCCATGCAGTCCTTCCCCAGTGTAGTCGCACATTTGATGACTAATGCTTTGTAGAGTCATGGGTTGGAATACTACCAATTATGGGTGTTCCATTGCCACTGCAGACACACTTGACTGCACTGACACTCCATGCGCTCAGTTTGATGTCAGGTGATTAGGTAAAATTATTTAACATTTGTAAGCCTATGTGAAATACACTGAATATGCACAGCATTCTGTATTATTGAACCCATGCAATACCTCATCTAAGTTTTGTGTTGGAGGCCTAGTTTACAGGCCTACATAGTGTAAATACCATCGTACATACTGAGTATTAGATTTCTACAAACAGACTCTGCATGCTGTGTTATTTTTAGTCAAGACTCTGCTTTTAGGCTTGGGGCATTGCAGGACCTACGTTGGTTGTAATATTGGTGTGATACTGCTCTGGTGTGTCGTCGTGGAAGTCTCATGTACGTCCATTATATCAGGTCATGGCGATTGCCTGGTCACAGCAGGCACACTCCGTGTCCTTTATCCTCATTGAAAGGATTTACTCTTGAGCTCCTAAAAGTGTCGTACGTATGCATGCGCACTGCAGCAGTCAGTTCTGCTTGGACTGCTGTTGCAGGAAGAAGTTCGCTCATTGGCATTTCAAGTTCCAACAGGCTGGGGTTATTGTGGAGGTCATTGGTAGTAACGTGCCTGTTTGTCCCCAGAAGGAACAGGAAGATCTACTGGTGGTATGTAGTGCAACCTGTAAATGGTACCTTGTCTGAGTGATTGTGACTGATAGAAACCATATACTGTCTCTGTGAGCCATGCTGGATGAGCTTAGTGTTATGTCACATCTATATCAGATGATAGTAGATGTCATGTCACCCTGACAGAAATCGTGCTGTGGCTGCTAATGATTACACACATATTTTTCCTAGATAAAAGAGAAGGAATTGACTAGAAATACATGAGAAGGTAGTAAGTGAGAATATGTTACCATAAGAGAGTATGTTACATAGGTAGATGTGTTGTGAAGGGATTGGAGGGGATTATTAACAGCCAGCTCTAAAGTTAGCCCTGCATCTGTGTCAGGGTTACTATGGCTGCTGTTGGCCTGTGGTGGCTGCTCACTGGCTTTTCCAGGGGTCAGACACGCTATCCATTTTTGGCAGTGGGCCATCCTGGTTTTTTTGTTTTTCCATAACAACCAGGAACAGGCAAACTTGATGAGAGAGGCTAAGACATTACTGCACTTCATGAAGAATGGTTTCTGCCTGAGTTTCTGATCTTTCTTTTTCCCGTGACATTCCCTCTGGTAGCTCCAAATATAACAACTCACATGAGGATACAGGAAGTATCTCAGGTTGAGTTGCAAGAGAATGACATTGCATTCAATGCATTCAATTGATAAAGATAGATGTTATGACTATTTTGCTAAGCTTGACTGGAAATGCATGGAAGTTATGATTCAAATGGAAAAGAGGGAAAAAAGTACATATTTTACTGTCACTATTTTGTAGCAATGGCATTCAAAATTCAGTTATGTTTAAAAAAAAAAAACAACCTAAAACTACTTTTTACCATGGCTATATTTTTGGACATGTAACTGTTTAGTAGTCCATGCATGTGGTCAAGTAGCAAAACAGCTTGTAAGGAGAGCTGCCTGAAACTTAAGCTTTGCCTTTCCCTCAGAACCAAATGTGCATCCCCTTTCAGTTTTGCAATTGCAACTGTCAGTATTGCATTATCTTAAGAATTACATTAAAATGTGAGGTTGGTGATCCCTCCAAAAGCAGGCCAGTTATTTCCTGAATTTAACATGTCAAGATAGGTCGTGATTTATTTTTACTGTTAAATTGTTTTGTCAAATACCTTCATAGGTTACTATAATAATTATTGAAAATATGCAACAGGGAAATAGCATTTGCTCACATTTGAGAGGCTGTAACAAGCAACCGTCTGATATTTGTAATGGAAACAACGCTTAAAACTATTAACTGATTATTGTCATCATCGGGTGTTTTTTTTCCCCCCATCATCAGTGTGCCAGAATTTGGAATGGTCCACTTCTTGTATTTAACGATATGAACATTTTTGCAATAATGCCAATGTAGCATATGCATTTTAAATTCAATTAGGTTTCCTAAAAATGCTCTTACATAAACGGTAAGTTAAGAAAGCAAGAAAATTATTTTAAAAAACAAAAAGACTGCTCCAGTAACTGTGAGTATGTCAGACTCTTTTCTCCCCTCTGCAGCCTTTCCCTGTGGTTCGGCCCACTCGCATGTCTGCCTCTAGCCTTGTCATGGTTGTGTGTGCACAAGTGGGGATGTGACTGTGCTCACGTAGAGCTCTGGTCTGGCACTGGTCTCACCCATTGAGTGAAATGTTACATCATTACTCAGTGGCTCCTGTGAAGGAGCCTGTTGGCATCGTGGCAGTGCCTGGAATCCCCCACCATGATGCATTTGTAGGTAGAATGTGATGAGTAAGAGGCAGTCAGACCGTAAATGTTCATGATGAATGCAACATATTTTCCCCTGAGACTAACTGGGACTAAGTAGTCACTTTGTAATAGAAATGCAGAATCATCCTCAGTCCCTCAGTGGCCTCATGGAGCAACCTTTTAACAAATTGTTTTTTAATTATGGTAACTGATATTACATGTCCAACACTATACATAGTAGACACCCTAGCTGGGTCCTGCTGTACGTATTGTTTTCACAAGGACCACCTGGGATTAGAAAAGGATAAGGGGGTTATGGCTCATTTGTCAACCTGCTGCTCCTGTGAAGAAACAACTAGTCAGAATTTTCTTTGTTGAAGTCCACTTCAATGTATAATTCAAACAGAGGGAACCTAATCTATCCACTGGATGGTTTGGATTGTGCCCTTAGTTGGCACCTGAAAGAGAGTCATTATATTCTTAAGGTAATTGGTTAACATTTTCATAGGGGTGTTGGTATATTCTTTTAATCACTTTTACATCTCTTGTACATTGCCTTTATTTTGTAAATGTTGTTTTACTTTCTTTAGTCACCATTAGCTCCCATTTTATTCTGATTTAATAATAAATTTTTCTTTTTTATTATAAAAAAACTTTCTTTCCTTTTTTGGAAAAGTGTCCTTGACATTACTTTGCTTACTATTCTTAATAGGAAAATGCTGATAATGAAATGTAAAAACAGTGGATAGTGTGCACATGGACCCCCACATGGGATACAGTAGCATGATCAGTGTATTGCAGTGGAAAAATGTGGCTGCATACTTACTTGTTCTTCATCCCAGTTTCAGTAAAGATTAAAAATTTGGCCAAATCTTTACCCAATTTTTGTTTGAATCAATTTCCTACTACTTGCCATATCACTAGATTTACTGTTCAGTCAAGCGTTTCCTCCTCAGTCTGTGGTGTGGTTATGAAACCACAGCAGTCAGAGCCGTAGTAGAAGCAGCAATCCTTATATCTATAGAGAATCAGTGCTACACTCTGCTCAAATACACCTTGTTGGCTGTTTGTTGAAACCTGCCTGAATGATATGTTTATGAGATTATACAGTGCCTCTGATAATTCTGTCAAAAGAGAAAAGGAAGTTTCTCAGGCAAAGCACACACCAATACACACCGTGCACCCATGACGCTATTTAGCCGTTTACTTCTGCACAGGATGCTGTCGTGTACAATGTACTGTTTTTTTTCACTTTTCTAGTACAATGGAATTTATGAAAGTGTCATTATGAATGCTTGGTAATTCCAGCTCTGTAGATGAACATTGTGATGGTATCGTTGCTATGGATGACTCAGAGAGAAGTGGGTAGGGGAAACAGAATCTGCACAGTGTAGCAGCTAAATAAGCTACACCACTCTCAAGTGTTAGCCTTAGCTAGTTCTTTCATGTATCAAACTGCAAATGTCTGGCAGCTGCCTGAAAGGGCTATAGTGTTTTTCACAGTTGTCACAAGTATATATTTATTATCTGTCTGAACTATTGGTTGTGTAAACCTACCTAAAAGCCAAATAGTAACTCAACAAAAGAGTCTTGTGCAAAGTACCTCACAATGACCTATTATTTACATAGAATTGCAGTGGTTACATTTCATAAGCCTAAACTTAAATTGTCTTTAGCCTTTAGCTGAGAAATGGATAATTTTCAGCTCCCAGTTGTACTGCACTTCGATGTCTGCAACCAACATAATTCAGTAATTGATTCCCACAGGGACATTCACCTTACTACCACAAGGTCAAGATAGATGCATGTTGCCAAGGAAACACAGCAGGGCAGATACCTCACTGTCAGCCTGCTAAGTCACATCAGTGCATCTACAGTGCGAAGTTTAATCCTCCTGTTGGCCAAAGGCAATTAAATTTTGACTCTTCATGTAATCTAACAGCCACCTGATGCATACAACTGTCTTCTGTCCAAAGTCCTATTCTATTTTAAAAATCGGTTTCAGTTTAGAGACTTGTAAAGTGGCTGTTAGATTTGAGCCAACAGTGCTTAACAGAAGAAATCTGTTGGTTACATTCACTGTATAAATTCACTTTATTTTTCTTTATTTTTCTTGCAGGACTTCTCCAGTTGCACCAGTGATCACCATGCCTCAGCAAAAGTCAGACATGGGCTCTGCCTTCATCCAGACGCAGCAGCTTAACGCTGCCATGGCTGACACCTTCTTGGAACACATGTGCCTGCTGGACATTGACTCTGAACCCACCACTGCACGCAACACTGGCATCATCTGCACCATTGGTTGGTCTGCATTGCTGGTCTGCACGCTTAAACACAGAAAAAACTTTTACTTTAATTCAAACATAAGGAAACATGCTTTCTATTAAACATGCTATAATAATAGCAGTGAATTCCTCAAGAGAACACTTTAAAAGCTAATTAATTAAATGAAAGGTTATTCATACAGTTAAAGGTTACTTGCCTGTTGCCTTGCATAGACATACGGTTGCTATAGATGCATAAAATGAGCATCACAATCATGTTGTCCCATTATTAGACCATATGTATTAATCACAGCTGTTCATTTATAAATAAGACTGAGCAATAACAATAACAAGCAGTGAACTGAATAAAGAACATCCCGGTACAGAAATGGGAACCTCATTTAGCTGATTTTAATTCTGGCTGTTGAAATTTGGGTTGAGGTTGCTGCACAATTAATTGTGCACCTCTATTACGAGGAGAATTAAATAACATCAAAATTTCAATCCCTTTTCTTTCAATGACTGCCTGCAGGACCAGCCTCTCGTTCTGTGGATATGCTGAAGGAGATGATCAAGTCTGGAATGAACATTGCCCGCTTGAACTTCTCACATGGCACACATGAGGTGGGTCTTTCCACAACTGTCTCGACTGTGTAAATGAGTTGGGCAGGTACAGCTAACCAGTCAGACTGTTAAAAGTCACGTTTAAACTGTGCTGATAATTTCTGTCAAACATGGTTCTGTGCTTTATCTCAGAATACCATTGGTTGGTTTGTTGATCTGTGAGGCAATCTTTACTGTTTCTTGTCTAGCTTCTTTTTTTTTTCTTTGATTTTCACACAGGTTTGGTAACTCTTTGCACAAAGCTCACAGTGAACAGTCACGTAATTCATTATGAACTGCAATCAGCTTGGCACTTTAAGCAAGACTAGACCAGCCAGCATGAAAGGAAAAATAGTGCTAACTTAAGATTAGAGTTTGGGCCAGCTAAACAACATCAAGTCATAAGTGATGCAGCCTGACTGAGTCTGTGTGTCACACAATAACACATGTCCTGTAAGTTATACGAGCTGCAGATCTCACCCGAATGCACCTAGGTGTTTATTATCTGTGAACAGAAAGATATGAGCAAAAGTTAAATTTTTAAGTTGCCATTCAAAAGCACAAGTCAAAATCTAACTAATTTTAAAGGTCAAGCTTCCCTCTTGACTATACCCATTTTAACTTTAAAACAAACAACTGACAATTGGCTAATGAATTTTGTCATCTGTCAGTACAAGTTCTCCAAAAGCCAGATGACTTATGATACCACTTTGATCTCTTGGCTTCTCTTCTGAAAAAGACTGCCTAATAAGTTCACTGCTCGGGCAAACCTAATAATGCATGGCCAGGTGACTTGCTTTTATGCCCAAATTCAGCTCAGGGTAGTACAGAGAGAGGACACAACGTAAGTTGCAACTTAAGACAGTTACACAAAAGGTGGAGGCCAGGGGAGAGGGGGACTGGCTGATTGTCAGCAGTTTGTACACTGTAAACGAGCAGTCACTCCAGGTGAGCTGAACCCACAACCTGACTCTGCTCTCTAGGCTCCTGCAGGGAGAGGGTCATCATATATCCAATCCAGTATGAGTAATGGGTCCATTTAAACCATATAATGACATTGTTGAGATTCAGCAAGAAGCTCATAGAATTCTTTTTTTTAACTTTTAGATTTGTTCTTGCAAAGAAGAATATCCCGCGCACTGCTCTTGCTCAGCATCACAAAACCTTTATATTCACAAATGTAATTTCATAGCAGAAGCATAAATTTACATTTTGTGTAGATGTATAAAAACTGATTCCATTACAAACATTTAACTGTCCAAGAAAAATGATTAATTCTGTTTGAGATCTTTGAAGTCCTCCTCAGTACTGCGCTTTGTGTGGGTGTGGGTATTTCAACAAGTTTAAATGTTCGTGTAGATTCAAAAAACTGCAAAGGAAACCACAGCTGTGTTGACTTGAGGTACTATAAATACGTCATCTGTAGCTTCCTGCCCTGTCTTTATCTCCTCAGCAGGCAGCACACCTAGATTCTGGAAGTGTGTGTGTACACAAACCCACACCAAGGTCAGTCCACTTTCAGCTAAAGTGGCAAGTGGGAAGTAGATTATGTTGCAAATCCAGTAAGACATTTGTCTTAGACCAGTATTGATAATATTGATTGAAAAGAGAACTGAATCCATGTAACTGAACATTAACTTTAGTTTCAATTTACGTTTATAGGGAAAGAATTATAAACCTATGGACCCAGACCTATACACATACCTACAGTAAATAGTCACCTGCTCTAAATGTAGCATTGTTCATAAAAGACTACAATATCTACTTTGCCTCCTCCTGTAATAAAATGCTGCAGCACACTGGACACACACACACATACATATATATTGTATTATTGTCGTGAGATCATCCAGGTTTTCTTTTAGTCATAGTGCAGTGAGTGTAGTGTAGCTCAGTGTGTTGCCAGTGTGAAAGGTAGCCAATGTGATTACCTGCCACTTAAGTTATTACTGAAAGCTCTGTATACCCAGGTGGGCAGCATAAGCCATGTGCAGCAGACATGGCAGTCTTCAAAGTAACAAACATTCTGCTATGTGTTCATTAGCCTGCACTAATGAGCAAAGATGGCTGCATTAATAACATGACGGTGCTGAATTTCTCTGAAGTTCTCTTCCAGAATTTCCCACAGCATTCCCAGGCCCATTTCCAGGCCTGCCGTCATTGTTTCTATTGTTTCAAATGGAATTTGTCGGACTGTGTTTATGGTATAAACAGTATCAGACAATGGGTAATGATTTCATGCAAGTCTCTTTGAACATTTATGACTGAGGTTTCATCATATGACAAAATATGACGTGTGCTCAAGGACTCATGCTACAAGGACATATACCTCTGATGACATTCTGTATCAGTATATTGCTACTCTATGTGATACTGTATGATAGGCAATCTCTCAGGTTTAATTTAATGGCATCATTGAATGACACTTAATTTGCAAAGCATTTTAATTTAAAGGCTCTCCGTTTTTCTTCTTAGTGACAGTGACTCTTAACATATCAGTGAGGGTGGTAGGAAAAAGAATATGACCCCTGGTGATGCTGTCAGTATGACTCATGTTTATGACCATGTGAGTTGTCAGACGCACCTTTATCTTTTGATTGCCCTGTCTGACCTTTATGTCTGTTCAACAAAACTTCTTATGCCAGTGCCACGGCCAAACTGTGATTTCTTTTCATTCAAATTTGTGTCCTAGCAGCAAAGGGTTGGATAGAAACAGAGCTTAGACGTCACAGGTTCTATAACTGTGTGTAAATCAGTATCTTGCTTACTGTTTTTACTCTGGAGAAATTTTAAATGTGTAACAATGCTCTTCCTTTCTGCAGTACCATGCAGAGACCATCAAGAACGTGCGTGAGGCATGCGAGAGCTTCGAGCCTGGCAGTATCCAGTACAGGCCCATTGGCATTGCCCTGGACACCAAGGGCCCAGAGATCAGGACTGGCCTCATCCAGGGAGTGAGTTTAGCGTCACCTGTTCTCCCTCTTCACACCAATATCGTACTCTTTATAATGACTGTAGTAGCTGTTGATGGCAATCAAGAACATTTTACTTGAAAACTAACTGGACAGAAAGTAAAACTATGTCTATTAATGATGTGACAGAGTGGCACAGCTGAGGTGGAGCTGCAGAAGGGCAACATGATCAAGATCACTTTGGACGATGCTTACCAGGAGAACTGCAGTGATGAGATCCTCTGGCTTGACTACAAGAACATTACCAAAGTGGTGGAACTTGGCAGCAAGATCTACATTGATGACGGACTCATATCCCTGCAGGTTAAGGAGATTGGTGAGTGGCGGCGAGGCAAACACATACAGTAAATCTCTTGTGATCCATTAGAGGGTTTAAAAAAACACTGCTATCTCTTAATACCCAATGAAAGACTCAAGCTCATCTATATTGTATTTTCTTTCTCCAGGCTCTGATTTCCTCATGTGCGAGATTGAGAACGGTGGCACCCTTGGCAGTAAGAAGGGAGTGAACCTCCCCGGTGCCGCCGTCGACCTGCCTGCTGTTTCAGACAAGGACGTCAAGGACCTGCAGTTTGGTGTGGCCCAGGGAGTCGACATGGTCTTTGCCTCCTTCATCCGCAAAGCAGCCGACGTCCACGCTGTCAGAGCAGTGCTGGGAGAGAAAGGCAAAGACATTAAGATCATCAGCAAGCTGGAGAACCACGAGGGTGTACGCAGGTGTGTATGTGGATGAAATGTTTTCATTGTGTCTTTTTTTTTTTTTATGTGTATGGTTCAGTAACTCTGATGTTTTGTTTGTGCTGTGTTGTTTATCTTATTTTATTTATTCTTGGGTAGGCTGAGCAACAAGGCCAGATCAAAATATTGTCAATGTATGTGAATTCTTGTGGTTATGAAGACAAAGTTCCAGCTTTGAAAAATTGTGTTTGATGAAGGTCCCATGATAAGTTGTACTTTGTGATTTAATTGGTTGTAATACCTTGTCTGTCATGCAGATTTGATGAGATCATGGAGGCCAGTGATGGCATCATGGTTGCCCGTGGTGACTTGGGTATTGAGATCCCCACAGAAAAGGTCTTCCTTGCCCAAAAGATGATGATTGGTCGCTGCAACAGAGCTGGCAAGCCAATCACATGCGCCACTCAGGTCAGAAAATAGCAAAGGACATTCTGTTTTTTATAGGCTAAATTTTCCAAGGAGGTGTAATTGAAAGAAAAAACAGTGCAGTCTCAGTGTAATCTCGGTAAAACACACTATAAACATTCATTTTGTTTGTACCACTCAGAGGCTGTCATGTTGAGATTTGTTTATCTTCTGAACCCCTTACATCAACACCATTCAGATGTTGGAGAGCATGATCAAGAAGCCCAGGCCAACCCGCGCTGAGGGCAGTGACGTAGCCAACGCTGTGTTGGACGGCGCCGACTGCATCATGCTGAGCGGTGAGACCGCCAAGGGAGACTACCCTCTGGAGGCAGTACGCACGCAGCACATGGTGAGTTAATGTATACTAAATATAACAATAGTGAACACTGGGGGAAAAAACAAAAAAACAGTGGTATGCTTTAGTAAGACCTATTGATTGGAAAAATTAATTAAGTTTACATGATATTGCATGATTTGTCATTTTTAATTCTTAAAAAATGAATTTACAGAAAAAAACATTAGCATCTAGTGGGAGATAGCGCTTTCTTGTTTCCTGATTTTTGTGTTCCTCTGAACACATCTTTTACTTCTCCTTCAGTTGCCCAGTGACACAGCTTTTTTTCCACTTGGCCCAACAGCTGCTCAGTAAAGTGTAAGCAGGAGTGTTAGGCCAACTGGAAGTGACTATCAATTAGTTGATCTTTCTATCCACTTATTTCCACTTTGTATATTCACTGGCATTCAGGTGTTCTTTTGAATAATCAATGAACAATTAATCACCATTAAGAAAAGTGATCATTCAAAAATGAAGATATTAATAGTATAACCTTATTCATGCTTCCTTAGGATAATGGTTCCAGCTGTGCTGGTGTTTTAAATTGCTTAGATAATTCCCATACAATATGGATAACTGTACCAGAGTTTTTCCATAGAATAGGAACACAGTAAAAAAGTGTAACTTACCTTTATGACATGTTGGGACTTCTAAGTCCACCTTAACTGAAGGAAATGCCTGTCGCCTGCACCTCTTCATCTAACAAATTCACTTCGGCTGCTCTTTACCATTTCTTAATTTACTCTAGTATCCCCCAGACTGATCCACCCAGTTCTTGTCAATAAGGATTTATGGTGCACACAGAGAATAACTAAAGACTGGTGAAGAGGGAGCAGGAACAGCAGTTTGGAGTTTGTTTGTTTTTTCAATCAGGGACAGACACAAATATAACACCTTTTTGAAGTCTGAGACCCAGAAGTGTTAACCTCCTTGACGAATGCTTGCATCAAAATCACAGTTATTATGGATGGATAATGCAGCTAATGCTGTCTTGCCTGCCTTTCATCGTTCAGGCCTTTCTTGGCTAACCTACACTGTCCTTGGCTATGCTCTGTTGTTAGCACTGCTATGCAGACCCAGGAGTGACTCAGCAGTCCTACAGCTCCTGTCTTTGGACTCACAGCCCTTATACTGAATTTGCATGGGGCACTTCACAATCCACAGTAAAGCACAGCTTCCATTGACATGAGACCAAACATTTACAGAGAGGACTAGAAAAACTTCACAAGGACCCACTCTGTTTCTAAGCCATTTTTTCTGTTGAGCTTTGTCTTTTTCTCATCTACCTGAGTCATACTTCTCTTGTTCATTCTTCCTGACTGTTTTTAACCATCTCTTCACCTTTGTGTGCAGTGCGTAGTATCTCAACTCCCAGCATGTTTTTTAACTCCCAGCTGACACAAGTCAGCTTTTTTTAATAGTAAGTAAAAGTAATTTATTTTGTGATTCTATTTTATTAAGCTCAGATCTTACATTTTGTCATTAGTTTTTTTTTATCTTAAGGATGAATAGTTTAAAAGGTTATTTCAGCTGTGCAGTTGCCTTCCTTCCAGATTGTATTGTAATACTTTACATTTAATATCTTCTAAATGGTTGTGCTATAATTTGGACTCTTGGATATGTTTTAATGTTGATGTTTTCCTGTTTCCCCCCCACTAACTGCACACCTAAACTCCTCAATGGCCAATGTCCATCCTGTCCTTCCCTCTGTCCCTTTTATCTTCTGTTCTTCTTGTGTCTCTAACATTGTCTCTCTCTGTTATCCATGTTTCTGTCCTTTTTTTTTTTTTTTTTTTTTTCATCCATTTTCCTCATTTTGCACCTGTGTGTGCCTGGTGTGGGAATGCTTTTGCTCGATGCATCTTGCCCTCACTTGTGCCAGATCGCTCGTGAAGCCGAGGCAGCCATGTTCCACCGGCAGGTGTTTGAGGACCTGCGTCGTTCCACACCGCACTGCAAAGACCCCGCTGAGGCTATTGCAATCGGCGCTGTTGAGGCCTCCTTTAAGAGCTTGGCCTCTGCAATGATTGTGCTCACAGGCTCTGGAAGGTAGGCAGGTTATCTGGTCCTGGCAGGTCGAGGAGGACACTGATACTGTTCTCAAGGAGTCTGAGAGAGGGAGAGTAGGGCCAGACAGGGACTGACTGAGGAAGTAACTGGGAGAGCCTGGCAAACACCTTGGGCAGACTGCTGGTTGTTTTTTACCCATGTGACCAAATTTTGAAAAGCAAAAATCTGGTGTTAACAGGTAGAAATGTATACATTAGCCCAAAGATTTCTCCCATTATCCCCTTGACTGAGGTTTTTGGGCCTCTGTATTTGTTTAAGTGCTTAAAGGAACCATTAGCCTATCATGTCCCCAATAACTAAACCAGGAGTCTATCTCAGGGTTTGCCAGTCACTCCCAGTGGTGTGAATGACTCGGCGTGCTGTAGTGGTGGCGTGCGTGACTCAGAGTAACCCCCCCACCCTTCCCTCACGGTCCTTTGGTGCTCAGATAGCACGAGAGGCCGAGGCGGCCACCTTCCACAGACAGCTGTTCGAGGAGCTTAGGAGACACTCCCAACTGACCAGAGACCCGTCGGAGGCTGTAGCTGTCGGAGCTGTAGAGTCATCCTTCAAATGCTGCGCTAGTGCCATCATTGTTCTCACCAAGACTGGGAGGTAAGAAAGAGAAGGAAAGAGGTGAAATGATCCTGGTTCCTGAAGGTAAGGTGTTGCCAAACTGTCACTCTGTGTCTAGCACAGCTCTTGATTCTCCCTCAAGCACTTAATGTGCTCTTATAGATCCCCTCTCATTTTAGTGTGTGTGTGTGTGTGTATGTCTGTTGTGTGATGTTACGTGGGGTGGGTGGAGATAGCAACAGATTTCAAGAGTGAGAGTGTGGGGTTGTCATTAGTCCAGTCCCAATTTCTACCCTACACAGACTTTAAAAGCACCTGGTGTGACTTTGCACCTTCCTGCACTCACGTTTTCACAAAGTCTCAAAATGCAAGGCTGCCATTTGATATGAGATCTAATTAAATTAAGTGCTACATATATATCAAATCATATCAGAGGATTATTTGAAACCATTGGTTGTACACTTGCTGCCAAATACATCTTAAATAAACTTGTGCTTGCCAGCACTTTTTATGCTTACTGGCATTATCAGACATCTCTGTTTTTAACACAGTGCTATTAATTGTGGGTAATTCCTTCAAGAATGTGTGAAGCACTGTCAACTTCCAAACAGTTGATTTCACAGCGGGGAAGTCCTGAGCCTTCAGAGTCTGCTGTTTGAGATGAACATTTGGATTGGGTCACTGACTTTTGTTGTCACTTACTATCACTGTCCTGTTATTCTTGTAGCACGTTAGGGCAGGACAACTCAACATCTTTGTTAATTGGATGGCAGGGTTTTTTAATTTTTAATTTACATGTATCAAGTATTAAGGTGACATGACTTGTATGACTTGAATTTGTTGCCATTTTGCTCTGTAATCATCATAATTATGTGGTCATACATTTGTAATCATTAGTTTAAAGGAAAGCACTCAAAATGTGAATGAAGTAAGGTAATCTTTTGTGCTCAGCTTTATGTATCTGTGTGCATATGTGCAGGTCCGCCCACCTGATCTCCAGGTACAGGCCCCGTGCTCCCATCCTGGCTGTGACCCGTAATGCCCAGACAGCCCGCCAAGCTCACCTGTACCGTGGCATCTTTCCCGTCCTCTACACCAAGCCTGCCAACGACGTGTGGGCAGAGGACGTCGACATGCGTGTCAACTTTGCCATGGATATGGGTAAGGACTTGATATCCTAACTCGCACCCTTTATTCAAAGTGCAGAGGAACATACTGACATAAAGTTGTGTAACTTATTAGAATCCCAAGATGAAAAACAGCATAAATATTATTGCTGTGAAGATCTGAGCCAAGACCCTGCTGAACAGAATTTAAGATGCCAAATAACATTTGCTTGAATGTTTTATGTTTAATCTTCTAGGCAAAGCCCGGGGATTCTTCAAGGAGGGAGATGTTGTCATCGTCTTGACCGGCTGGCGTCCAGGCTCCGGTTACACCAACACCATGCGTGTTGTTCTGGTGGCCTGAACAGCCAACAGGGCTGCTCCGCTTTCTCCCTCCACTTTCCTCTATCTTTCATAGTTCTCCACCCCACACTCCACTCCAGCTGACAACCCTTCACATCCAACGTCCAGGATCACAGATTCCACCCCTGAACAATTTATCATTTAGGCAATAATGGAAAAAAATTTAAAAAATAGTCTAGCCTTCCGTACAATTCCACTTTATGTATCCATTCCATTCTCCTCGATTCTCTCAATCAAACCAGTCTTCGGGGCCTCAGATGAAAACACCCTAACCAGAAACTGCTGTATTTATTCACTCAAACATTTGTACAATTAAAAGCAAGTCCAAGAGTGAATGCATCCTGGTTTGTGTGCATGTGCAAACTGGTTCTTGTTTAGGTGGGGTTGGTGATGGGGCAGACTGATCTTAACAGAGCACCTTGACTGCTGTAACAGTTTATTAACCACACTCCTCCCCCGACTGAAAGAACAAACTTGTGGCATCCTAAAATCAAAGGGCTCCTCCTACAGTGCAGCCTCGGGTCCACCGCTCCACCAAAACAGATCCTTTCTGTCTGTATGAAGTGTCCTCTTTTAAATGCCAGCTTTCACTGTATTTAAGTGTATCTGTAAGTGTTGCACTCCTAATCTACTCCAGACAATGTTACATTCTATATTATACTTGACTTTTGTGAATGGTGAAGTTTTGTTTTGGGACATCCAATACTACTTATATTTTGTCTGACAATAGAAAAATGTTAGTTTTGGATGTCCTCTCCAGAGGTGTTTGAGCTAGTTACTGTATTGGTATTATTAGATGTGTCATAAAGCCTTTACATTTCTTTGCATTTATATCATATCTAAGTTGGCACTTATGAATCATGTGGTTCACTAAAGTTGACTGATATGAATGAGCACTTTTAGGGTTTTTTCACACGCAGGACTGATATATGGATAAAGCCCTGTCCCTGTCTTTCCCAGTGGGTGATGGGTAGAACCCCTTTGCTAATCTTTCTCCTTCTACGTCAGTGACCCACTGTAGCTGTCTTCAAGTGTCTGATGTGCATTTTGATTGTAATGCTAGAGTGTCAGAACTAACTAAATGTAAAGGGGTATTGTAGTGTTAAGCTGGTGTACTGAGCTGTCCTACAAGACTGGATTTCCATCAATAAAAGAGATGAGCACCTATCTTAACTCTGCCTTGCAAATGTTTTGTTTGACAGTGGAATAATCACAAGTTGAGCACCACAGTAAATTTACACCAGTTGAAGAATTCAGGTGAAACATTGTGAAAAGACAAAAAAGTTAAAGCATAATCACAAAGATACTGAGAATCTTTTTATGAATAAGCAAACATTTCAGTGTTTTATTGTGAGGTTAGACCCAAATGATCCAGTGAGGTTGTGGATAGGTTTATGATGAGCTTCTTTATCTGAAAACATGAACCCTACTAGAGCTCACCATGGTCAGCCACAATGACAAGTAGAAGTTGACTCTAAAAAAAATGAACTTTCTTCATCAAGATCACAACATCTTGCATTAACTGCTGGTAGTGTATGGATGTAATGCAGTGTATCACTTGTAAAAATAAGAGCAAATTAGTGTCTATTCTAAACTTGTTGCACTGCAGGGAATCACAATCTTGAGTATATGTTAAGCACTCATTGGCGGTCCTGGCTGTACACCACCCCCACCTGCTTTCGAATCTCATCCTCCAACTCAGCCAGCAGACGAGAGTCAGCATGAGGCATAACTGCACTCTCCTTCAGCCCTATGTGGAACAGACATAGTGTGAGCACGTACACAGTGTACTGTCAGGTCTACATGTACAAACAGAGTACATGGCCGTTATGAGTTTAGTCTCTGATGCCACCTTGTGTTGAAAGTGTGTATAAGTGTCACAACACATTCAGAAAATGTACGTTTTAGATATTGTGTTAATATATTAATTCATTTCTCTATTACAAAGGATACAGAGTAAAACATGGCCATACCTTTGAGCAAACACTGGCGAACCTCCTCTGCTTCATAACGCATCCCTGTGCTGTTGAGGAAGTTGAGAGGCAAATAGGGTTCAGGCACTGGGTACTGAGTCCCCTTTCCATGCACCTCCAATGATGTGGGGCACCACATGTGGGCAGGGACCTGAAAGAAAAATATATAGTTACAGCATATACAGTACATACAATGTGTGCAGTAGATACTTCTCCCTCTTTGTGTTACACAAAGCATTTTTTTTTTTTTTTTTTTTACAACACCCAATTTCCTAATTTCCTTCCTAAATTTCTTCACAGATGACCTTGGTTCACTTACTAACTTTCAATTGTATTCTGAAGATGCCAGTGTGCACAGTGCAAATTGGTATTGCATTTCAGACTGTTTGAATTTTATTTGAATAAGCGGCCTAGCTGTGATGACCCACCTTAATTGTGCCCTTTGTGCCAACAATAATGGCATCATTGGGCAGCTGTACAACCGAAGAGCAGGAAAACACAGCCATTCTGTTCTTGGAAAACTTCAGAGTGACAACCACAGTCTCATCCACTCCTGTAACAACATACAAATATATGATGCACATTTGACAGAGATAATAAAATCAAATACATGAATTTTGTGACATGAAATAAAATGCAACATGAAGGGAGTCATTTCTACTGCATTTTATACTGAAAAAGAATAAAAAAAACTTTATTGTTCCATAAAAGAAGTGACACAGATAAGATCTCAAGTCTTATCACACAGGTACACGCACTCTCTTAATTCTTATAGATTAGGGATCATACTGGCACAAAAGCTGGAGCAAGAACTTTACAAGCTCAAACTTAAAAACTCCCATCTGTTAACACATAAGCAGCTGCAAGTGAGGTCAATGAATCACTGTCAACCCTGTGAGTCGGGGATCACAACAGGTTTCTTTCTTTACTCCTGAGACTGACACCATGTGAGCAAAATACTTTTTTGGTAAACATGTCACAGTGAGGGAAGTCCAGAATGAACCACATATTTTCACCATTGCTGGTGAACTTACATCACCGATTCGGTACGCTATATTATTGAGTAAGTGCAACACTTCCTCTCATGCTAACTGACTGGTTAGTTGTCAGTTGCTTTGGAAAAATATCTATGAGATGCCTCTGGCCTGGTTTTTACTTACCCGTATCCAGGCAGATTCCAGTGGCTTGTATGCACTCTGGCTTCTCTCCATCATACACCATGCATATGAACTGCAGGCAGTAGATGCCAATATCTAGTATTGCTCCTCCACCCAGCTCCTTCTGCGTCGCTCTTGGTACGTGCATCAATGGCACGCCAAACTCCGCTCTGACCATCTTTAAATCACCCACCTCCCCCTGGGCCAGAAGCCTCCTGATCTCCACAGAGGCCGGGAAAAAACGGGTCCAGACAGCCTGGAGCAAAGGAAAAGAAGCAGTTCATACAGCCACATTTTAAACATGAGCTAGGGTTTGGTTATTTAGTGACTTACAAGTTTCACAAATCAACTCAAAATAAGTCTAAAATTATTAATGAGGGTTTGCACGCTCATTTCAAGGTCTTCTAAGATATTGTTACTTGGTTGTTTTTCTGACTTGTGACCCTGCTAACTGGTGAAATCATAATGAAACCATTTATTTTTTAATTTCTTAGTTAAATATGATTAAGACAAGTAATACTTTATATTTTGACAGACAGAAGCAAGAATTGTAGGCTTATTAAAAGAAAAATCCGTGAAATCATCTTGCTCAGAGTGTAAAGTAAATGTAATGCATTTGATCAAATATGAACTTCATTGTCCAATGATGCTGCAGGTGAGAACTGGAGAAGAAGAGAATAGATGTTTTTCTTTTTGCTCTGCTCAATCCATACCTCCATGAGGAAGACGTCGTTCTTCTTGGCAGAGGCCAGGATCTCCTGCACCTCCCTGGAGTTCATGGCCAGCGGCTTCTCACACAGCACATTCTTCTTGGCGTTCGTAAAGAGCAGACAAGTGCTCAGATGGAAGGGGTGGATAACTCCAATATACACCACATCTGCACACATGTAAACGCACAGATCAGAGAACGTCCTGTAGGAAGACACTGACACTGAACTGGAAATTAGCGGAGATTCACCAGAGGGTTAGGGTTAGAAATAACAAATGCAAAGAGCTATCAACCAATCAAATTTGACCGTGGAACGACAAAAAAACTGACCAATGTTTGGATCTCTGGCCAGCTCCTCATAGCTGCCATATGCTTGAGAGATGCTGTGCTTTCTGGCAAACTCCTGTGCACTCTCTAACTTGCGAGCTGCCACGGCCACAACCTGTGAATAAAGTTTCAAAGGATTATTTATTGCAACAAGTTGCTCTGCCCTCACTCTAATAAAAAGACCCACCACAATCTATGTTGCAGCAGTGTTTACTCCAATGCTGATATAAAGGCTTAATTCTGATGTCTTCCGAAGTATATGGACGCATTATTGCCTTATTTAATAAGGCCATGTAATAAGGCTTATCACATTTTCCCGCATAGTCCAATAAAACATCTAATCTCCTGTTAGTTAAGAACTCTGCTTTTCTCAGCCTTTGGTGAATGGGTGCAGGCAAACATTGCTAAATAAATTAATTAGCTCTTGCTTTCCAGAATAACAGTCTCCCACTCACATTCATTTTAGAGCATGAGAGTCTCTAGATCTAATTTTAGCCTTTTAGTTTTCAATGCCGCAGTTTTTTTATTATACTATTGTATTATCTGAGGCTTGGTTCGAGTGTTTTCCTTGGTTTAATTATTGCTGAGATTAGAAAATTATAATAATTAAGATAGAGAATAATAAAAAATAAAATAATTTAGATTTGCACACATACCGTAATTACTGGATTATGGACAGAGAAAGAAATCTTTAATGCGCATTTAGTTCCTGTTTTACGGTATGAAAAAAAGTAAGTAAAATGTAGGAAATGTGGCTTACAATGTACACAAGCCCACTGACATTTTGGACGTAGCTTTCTGCTCGCTGACTGAAACTGCAGGTTTCAGATGCACAAGAATATGTGTATTTAATTTATTTTGTTACAGGTTTTTGACTTAAAATCAGCAGGAACATCAGACGGACAGTCCTCACGGAGGAGCCTCGCTGAGTCCTGAGTTATGAACACGATCGTGTATTTGTGTCTACACTATCACACCTGCTGATACTGATACCTGATGGTCTTCAGTGGGCAGAGTTTTCAAGGCCACAGTAAAATCATGACTGATCCGCCCCGCGCCGCAGATTCCCCACCTGGTTGCCATATTGGAAGAGGAGTGAAAGAATGAGAGGCGTCTGCCTATGCACTGCAGCAGAGGGGCGTGACTCTAAAAGTGGGCGGAACTATAACTTACGCAGCCTGCAGGCGTATCCGTTCGGACAGAATGGGTTTAATGACAGTGGCTGCAATCTGCCACAAGGTGGAGATACAGTATTAGTTTAGTTTTCAGTGTGTGACGTTGCACAAAAATAACAGGATGGTGATGGTTTGTTGTTTACAGAGCGAAAACGTGACCTCCAGATAGTGATCATAAGACCAAAATACGTTGTCTGATCTCTTCCTCCTCCATTGTGGGAAGCTCCCTGCCTCTAATCATGACAGCCTTTTACATATTTCAACTCTTTTGATTATTGTACTCATTATTTTAAACGATTTATTAATTTTTAAAATCTACTCTTTACTATTTGACGATTTGCTTTTAACCTTACTTTGTATTTTATTCTCACCACTGATTAATAGTGTGAATTCTTTATTGTGCTGCATTGACAAAAATAATCTATCTATAATCTATTGTCTATTATATATTTTCACTTGTCTGTGTTTTATTCTCAGTTTGAATTCTACTAATAGTGGGTTCATTTTTTTTCACCAGAAAGTATCATGTCATTGTATTTTATATTGTGTAAACTGTACAACAAAATTAAAAGCTATTATTGATATTCACTTTCCACTGCATCTCTTGTATTACTTTTGATTCAGGATGGATTTGTTTTTGTGAATGTAATCACCAAGAGTGGTTTAAGGTCAGAGGTCAACTACAAAATAGTCCCTTCGGTGCAGGTAAGAGCTGACATGCACAGGGATATTTTGTTAGGGCTGATATTTATCATGGCTTGAAACTGGGAGGTTGATTTATTCAACTTCATATGGTAAATAAGGTTGGTTAGGCTGTGGCACAGCGTGATATGTATAGAAATAAATAATTATGTGAAAATAGTTAAGAAGTTAATGAATAGCAAATTAATCAACATCATCAAAATGTGCCATTTTTGCATTCATGGGCTGCATCGTGTATCAGTGAGACAGCCAATGAGCCCAAAAGGTTGAGAACAAGTATTAAATGAGCCGTGCTCTTTGCTGACTCATAAAGGCCTTTCTCTGTGCTAACCTTGAAAAGCAGACAGTGCAACCTATTTCTGTACGGAGAGAGCATGAATCTATTTGTAAACCGCTGCAAGGGTCAGACATGACAGAACACTTTGATTCAAATGTGCCACTCGAAGTCTCTTCTCCTCTCCAGCGGATGATATTTGAAATGAAACATGGCTTTCCCAATCAGTCCTTTATTGGATTCATCAATCACACGCCTCACACACCCCACAGTGACAGCTGGGTTTGTCTTTAAAGGGCCTAGGATTTGATTACAGGATGGTGACACACGACATGGTTGCTCGGTTTGTTTACATTGTGATTTGTTTGGTTTAAAATATGTTTTCAAGCCGAGATTTAGGAATCTACAAGGTGACTTTACATTGTGACTCTGAGGTAGAATTACTGTGTTTGGAGCTATCATGGGTGAATCTATATGATAAAAAAGAATATAGAGAGAATAAACTCTGTAATAACAGATGTACATGTTCTAATAATTTGCTGGCTGTATCTGTAACTCAGTAGCAGTTGAAAATGTTACTCTCAATGACACTGCGTCTGCTCAGGCTTTGTCACACAGTGCCATGAGTGAGCTGCTTATGCCAAAGATCCAAAGCCTGCCCCGAGCAGCTTCCTCCGTTCCATCTGAGTAGGTTTAGGTCAGGTGAAACAGCTCGGCTTTGGAGTGATGTCACTGGCTGTCCTGGCTGAAGACAACTCCCACCTGTTTCCTGATTTCATCCATGATCTCTGTCAGCAAGACAGACTCTGCCAGAGGCATCCGTGGGCTCTCCTTAAGTCCTGTGGATGAAGAGGAGTTTAACAGGAAAATCAGACACGTCACAAAGACACTTCTGTTTATAAGCACGGTTAAATTATGCACATATAATTATATTCGCATAAATTATGTCAAAGCAAAGATGTAAAGATTATGTAAATTAAAATAGGAAGCAAAAACACAATAGGAGTGTAATGCTGTATAAGCTAGAGGACTTTCCAAGGACTGATAACAGTGGATTCTGGATCAGTCTGATGCATTCCCGGAGCTATGTCAAGCTCCAGGAATGCAACGGTTTCACCGAATTGCAGCGTCTTCCCTTCAAACTCACCTTACCTTTGAAGCAGTGATTCGCGCCGTTCAAACTATTTCATCTATTTGAAGACAAATACACTTTCCTTTTATCATGACCTACCCTTAAGCAGGCACTGCCTAACTTCCTCTGCCTCGTAGCGAAGCCCGGTGCTGTTGGTGAAATTCAGAGGGAGGCGTGGTTCAGGCAGAGGGTACTCCATCTCCTTGTCGTTCACCACTAGTGTGGTAGGGCAGTGCATGGGGCCTAGAACCTGGAGGCCAAAAAGAAAATCACTCATCCAATGCAGTAGGTATGAGTTTGTCTGAAATACTTCTATTTAATTAAACATGAAAGTAATTATGGGTTATCTCAGTGTTTGCACATCTCAATCATTTCTTAATCAAGTAAAAAGCTCCTGTACAGGACTAGCAAAGCGTACTTTAACGGAGCCTTTAGTGCCACTGATGACAGCATCGTTTGGAAGTCGTGCAGAAATTGAAAAGGAACAGAAGGCCATCCTCTTCCTGGAGAACTTCATCACCACAACCACTGATTCATCCACTCCTGCCAATAAAAGGAAATATCTGTATAACCAGTGAAGGGAAGATAAATGAATGAATGCTAACAATACAGCTGTTGATATCGTTTAAATTCCTATTCAGGTTCCATTTTTAAGTTCAGTTCACTTCAGGTCATTTTTATCAGCACACCTCAGTGAGGTCAGTTCAGGTCTATTCAGTTTTGCTTGCATGACTTTTTGATTTAAAAAAAAAAAGAGAATCACAAATATGCACTATGTTTTTTTTTGTATATTGATTAAATTATCAAATATGTTACATAAAGGTCAGTAAAAGATAAGGAAATGTTCATTATATGTATGGTGTGATTGCCCCACATTGAAGGATAACTTGTTGTGAGACATTCAGTTACATATTCCCCTGCCAGTTTTACAGTATTACTGTATTCTCCATGGAGGATTTGGATTAGTCTGACATTTTAAAGATAAGTGTGGGATTTGCTGTGTGATGAATTCTTCCCCGAGGTGTTTACATTTTAGACAGTTCATTTAAAAATGTGATTTTCTGCCTAACTTTCTCTTGCGTTACACAAGAGGTGCTTCTTTTCTTCCTGTTTTTCTTTAATGGTGAACAGTTTAAACGGCCAGTTTATGATCACTGATTCATGCTATGTGTTTAATGATATTAATCTATATCGCACCTCTGCTGCGTGACCTGTGTGCTGAATCATACCTGAGTCAAGCAGCACCCCTGTGGCCTGGACGGACTCTGGCCTCTCTCCGTTAAACACCATCAGCACAAACTGCAGGCAGTACACGCCGATATCCAGCAGTGCTCCTCCGCCCAGCTCCTTCTCCACCGAGCGGGGGATGTGCAGCTGGGGGGAGCCGAAGTAGGCCTTTACCAGCTTCACCTCCCCTACCGCCTCCTCCGCCAGCAGCCTGCGCACCTCAGCGTGAACAGGGAAACAGCGGGACCAGATGGCCTGACAGGGACAGAGGTGATAACATTGCACCACTGTGCACCACAGTTTAAAGTGGAGTTGCACATGAGCAGCAGTTTATTACCACAGTTCTCCACTATGTGTATGAGTACCGTGGCAGATGTGCTGGTCAAACATAACATGACAAGATGTTTTCCTGTACCATGAGCCAGAAATATCCCAGGACATTCAAGGTTTTGCTTTGTGCATGGCTTCTGATCCAGCTCCCAGCAAGGACGTAAGTAAGTGTTTACCAAAATGTCAAACTGCTGCTTTAAGATTCATGATGAAGTTTGGGGCAGTTATTTTGGCTTCACAGCCTCACATACTGATTATTAGATAACCTAATAGCAACAATATTCAAACGCTTTTTCTGCATTTTAATACATTTGCATTAAATTTCACAAGATACGAAACTATTACCTTCCAGTTTTCGTAGCCAAACCCAAACTCTTCTTTCTTTGTTGTTCGGACATACAGCAGCTACTCCTATGGCCAGCAAATGGCCACTAAGCAAATGACTGTAACCTCTAAACCTCACCTCCATCAGGAAGACGTTGTTTTTCTTGGCGGCAGCGACGAGGTCTTTCACCTGTCTAGAGTTCATAGCGAAAGGTTTCTCACACAACACGTTCTTTCCAGCCTTGAGGAACAGCAGACCAACTCTCCAGTGCTCCGTGTGCAACACTCCCAGGTACACAATGTCTGTGAGGACACATATGTTCCAAACAGTAACGCCAACACACCATTCTCTCTGCCTTTGCAGCCAGGCTGTTCCTTGCTCTTAACTCACCTATGTCTGGGTCGTTGGCCAGCTCCTCGTAACTGCCGTAAGCCTTAGGAATACCGTGCTTCTTGGCAAAGTCTTTGGCGCGCTCCAAGCTCCTTGATGCAATGACTCCTATCTGTACATAGGAGAGAAAAACACACAGACATTCATCACAGTGTTGCTCCGTCAGCAGCTCTGTTCACCGAAAAGAGAGACATCTTGTGTGACAATGAAGATGTAGTGAGCTTGTTTTGCACAGAGTACCTGGTGATCTGCAGGAGGCAGAGTCTTCATGGCCACGCTGAAGTCATGACTGATCTTCCCGGCACCGCAGAGTCCCCATCGGGTTGCCATGTTGAATTGGATGGTAAGCGACAAGTGAACGGGGTGATGCTTCGGTAAAGATCTGAGGCCGGTGGCGAGTTGTGACCTTGGCAAAGGTTCAGGAGAAGAAACGTACTAAACTGTCATGCCTTAGCACCAGCAGCACATCAGCGAGAAGGCTCCTGCATTTATATGCTGGGGAGGCAGGGTGTGTCACCTTTCTTCCCTTGTTGGGTTGTTGCTGATACAGGC